TGTGGACACTGCATCATGGGAGGCCCATGGCAGGGGACTGCAGACACTGCACCATGGGAGGCCCGGGGCAGGGGGACTGCAGACACTGCATCATGGGAGGCCCACGGCAGGGGGACTGCGGACACTGCACCATGGGAGGCCCGGGGCAGGGGGACTGCAGACACTGCATCATGGGAGGCCCACGGCAGGGGGACTGCGGACACTGCACCATGGGAGGCCCGGGGCAGGGGACTGTGGACACTGCACCATGGGAGGCCCACAGCAGGGGGACTGCGGACACTGCACCATGGGAGGCCCAGGGCAGGGGACTGCGGACACTGCACCATGGGAGGCCCACGGCAGGGGGACTGCGGACACTGCACCATGGGAGGCCCGGAGCAGGGGGACTGTGGACACTGCACCATGGGAGGCCCACGGCAGGGGGACTGCGGACACTGCATCATGGGAGGCCCGGAGCAGGGGGACTGTGGACACTGCACCATGGGAGGCCCGGGGCAGGGGACTGTGGACTCTGCACCATGGGAGGCCCACGGCAGGGGGACTGCGGACACTGCACCATGGGAGGCCCGGGGCAGGGGACTGTGGACACTGCACCATGGGAGGCCCGGGGCAGGGGACTGTGGACTCTGCATCATGGGAGGCCCGGGGCAGGGGGACTGCGGACACTGCACCATGGGAGGCCCGGGGCAGGGGACTGTGGACACTGCACCATGGGAGGCCCGGGGCAGGGGACTGTGGACACTGCACCATGGGAGGCCCAGGACAGGGGGACTGCAGACACTGCATCATGGGAGGCCCGGAGCAGGGGGACTGCGGACACTGCACCATGGGAGGCCCGGAGCAGGGGGACTGTGGACACTGCACCATGGGAGGCCCAGGACAGGGGACTGTGGACACTGCATCATGGGAGGCCCGGGGCAGGGGACTGTGGACACTGCACCATGGGAGGCCCGGGGCAGGGGACTGTGGACTCTGCATCATGGGAGGCCCGGGGCAGGGGGACTGCGGACACTGCACCATGGGAGGCCCGGGGCAGGGGACTGTGGACACTGCACCATGGGAGGCCCGGGGCAGGGGACTGTGGACACTGCACCATGGGAGGCCCAGGACAGGGGACTGTGGACACTGCATCATGGGAGGCCCGGGGCAGGGGACTGTGGACACTGCACCATGGGAGGCCCACGGCAGGGGACTGCAGACACTGCACCATGGGAGGCCCGGGGCAGGGGACTGTGGACACTGCACCATGGGAGGCCCGGGGCAGGGGACTGTGGACACTGCACCATGGGAGGCCCGGGACAGGGGACTGTGGACACTGCATCATGGGAGGCCCGGGGCAGGGGACTGTGGACACTGCACCATGGGAGGCCCACGGCAGGGGACTGCAGACACTGCACCATGGGAGGCCCGGGGCAGGGGACTGTGGACACTGCACCATGGGAGGCCCGGGGCAGGGGACTGTGGACACTGCACCATGGGAGGCCCAGGACAGGGGACTGTGGACACTGCATCATGGGAGGCCCGGGGCAGGGGACTGTGGACACTGCACCATGGGAGGCCCACGGCAGGGGACTGCAGACACTGCACCATGGGAGGCCCGGGGCAGGGGACTGTGGACACTGCACCATGGGAGGCCCACGGCAGGGGACTGTGGACACTGCATCATGGGAGGCCCGGGGCAGGGGACTGCAGACACTGCATCATGGGAGGCCCGGGGCAGGGGACTGCAGACACTGCATCATGGGAGGCCCGGGGCAGGGGACTGCAGACACTGCATCATGGGAGGCCCACAGCAGGGGGACTGTGGACTCTGCATCATGGGAGGCCCGGGGCAGGGGACTGTGGACACTGCACCATGGGAGGCCCGGGGCAGGGGACTGCAGACACTGCATCATGGGAGGCCCGGGGCAGGGGGACTGTGGACACTGCATCATGGGAGGCCCGGGGCAGGGGACTGCAGACACTGCATCATGGGAGGCCCGGGGCAGGGGGACTGTGGACACTGCACCATGGGAGGCCCGGGGCAGGGGACTGCAGACACTGCATCATGGGAGGCCCGGGGCAGGGGGACTGTGGACACTGCATCATGGGAGGCCCGGGGCAGGGGACTGCAGACACTGCATCATGGGAGGCCCGGGGCAGGGGGACTGTGGACACTGCACCATGGGAGGCCCACGGCAGGGGACTGCGGACACTGCACCATGGGAGGCCCGGGGCAGGGGACTGTGGACTCTGCACCATGGGAGGCCCGGGGCAGGGGACTGTGGACACTGCACCATGGGAGGCCCGGGGCAGGGGACTGCGGACACTGCACCATGGGAGGCCCGGGGCAGGGGACTGTGGACTCTGCACCATGGGAGGCCCGGGGCAGGGGACTGTGGACACTGCACCATGGGAGGCCCGGGGCAGGGGACTGTGGACTCTGCACCATGGGAGGCCCACGGCAGGGGACTGCGGACACTGCACCATGGGAGGCCCGGGGCAGGGGACTGTGGACTCTGCATCATGGGAGGCCCACGGCAGGGGACTGTGGACTCTGCATCATGGGAGGCCCGGGGCAGGGGGACTGCGGACACTGCACCATGGGAGGCCCGGGGCAGGGGGACTGCGGACACTGCACCATGGGAGGCCCGGGGCAGGGGACTGTGGACTCTGCATCATGGGAGGCCCGGGACAGGGGACTGTGGACTCTGCATCATGGGAGGCCCGGGGCAGGGGACTGTGGACTCTGCATCATGGGAGGCCCGGGACAGGGGACTGCAGACACTGCACTAAGGCTCACAGCCCCTGTCTACACTCTGGAGGAACGGTGGCTTTTCGGTTCGCTACTTTGAACTCCTGGCTTGGTGGAGGGTTAGCTTTGTGGCTGAAGTTCATGGAAGGCATGTCACTGTGGAAATTAAAGGAGGAAGGACGGAGAGTGTGGGAGGAAGGGGAGAGACACGCTCTTACGACTGTCTGTATGGAAGGCATGCAATTTGTTTTTTGTACGTGAGATATTTTTTAAAAGGGCAATCAGATGACCTGCAGGGCACCTGTGAAATGGACAGCACCAGAACACGAGACAGACATGGAACCAGCCATGTGCCGTTCCCTGGAGAGACTAGAGAAGGGGCCGGGCTGCTCCTGCTCGGTGAGCCGCTGGGCACGGGCCTGGGGTGATGCCACCGCCCCGAGGGCAGACACAGACAGTACCTGGAGCAAGTTTATGGAAAATGTGAAGTACTTTTAAAAATCATGAATAGATCTCAAACATTTTGGGCCAATCTTTTAAGCCCAGTTTTCTGCATTAGGGTTAACTGGTATGTCACTGTCCATATAACCGCACAGCAAAACAAGCCAACATTACCAGGACAACTGCTTTTGGGGTCACAAATCTTAAAGGTCCGAACATTGCAAATCAGAATGCCCTATTATTTTCTTGGCATCTTCCTTCGCAGGCTACCCTGTAGGGAACACACAGCTTGCCATCTCCTAGGCCACCCTGTGGGGAGCACACAGCTCAGGATCCCCCCTCCCAGGCCACCCTGTGGGGAGCACACAGCTCGCCATTCCCCCTCCCAGGCCACCCTGTGGGGAGCACATGGCTCTGAGTGAATCAATCCTAAGTGGACCTGACATGCTCAGTAGTTGCTTGGGGTCCTCGTTTTCCTGTTAACTGCTGTCACCAAGGATAGCAAAGCACTTGTCTGTGTTGTCCTTGATGGTGTCTCCTGCCTGAGCCACGTCAGGTGAGCTGCGAAGAGCACCCTCACACACACCCAGTGGCACACTTGTCCTCCATCCATCACATTCCATTTGAGTTTACACTGAAGCCTGGACCACAACGGACAAACACCTGCACATGTTTCTTTGCCTCGTAAGCAAGCATCAGGACACAGCTCCCTGTCTTCCTGTTCTCAACGCCATAGCTGGGATTAGGGCTGGCACCTTGAATGGCCAGGCCACCCATTCTTCATCTCCCAACAGGTGCCGGGAGACTGGTGGACCCTCAGCTGTGACCCACAGCAGGAGGGAGGAAGGTAGGGCAATCCCCGAGACCCCTGCCCCCAGCCAAGGGCTCTCACTTGGCAAAAGTATAGAACAAACACGCTCCAGGGCGCGCAGAGCTCACAAGTTTATTGGCGACTTGTGCGGGAACCTTTCCTTCCAGCGCCTCTGGCCACACTAGTGACAAATTCATAAAAAAAACTTCATTTTTATACAAATAGTTTTATTACAAATTTGAATTCTTAGCAAATACATCTTTAGAGAAATGACATGAAGGGCCTTAGTAGTCTTGAGAATGTATTTGGGAACCTGTGGGTACTGCTAGTCTGGGTCCGTGGCACAGCTTGGGAAGGCTCGCAGGGGCCCCCGGGCACAGGCACAGGCACTTGGGTTCAGCGGGGCGGTTCCTGGAGCCAGCGGTGGGACGGGGAATGCTAACAGAGGCCTGCTGGGTTACCGCTGTGCAGGGTGGCTCCGCACTGTGAAGTGGGCACTGAAGCCCTGACCACGGCAGGCACGGAATAGAGCGTGGGGTCCACAGACACACCACCGCGGCAACCCGGCTTTGGCTTTGGTGAGACGTAAGTTTTGGTTTCAAGGTGAACAACATTTAGCACCCTCGTGTGTCAAGACCCACGTGGCAGGGCCTTGAGGTGTCAGAGGCAGAACCCACCAGAACTTCACCTCAACAACGGGCCAGGGGAGAGAGGACGCTATGACCGGGTCTGCTGACAACTATATAAATTACTAAAATATATATATATATTTATATAGACTTAATTTCTGGCTACTTTTGGACCATCTGTATTCCACAGGAAAGTTGTAATTTCAGCAGAAGCAGCTGCAAAGCACCACACGGAGCACAGACACACGGTTTAGACCGGGCTTGGGGTCTGCCTGCGGGCCCGCACTCCACCCGGAGGTGCACACCGTGTGTGCGTCACCCGGGTCCCTGGCTGGACAGTGACATCCACACACATGTGTAACAGGACCGGGGGCTGATGGGCTGGGGCGCAGGCTGGAGACGGGCAGTGAGACACACGGAAGGCCAGGCACCTCCTAGCACCTTGTGTTTGCTGATGGAGCTGTCACTTCACACATCAGCGCACCGGACTGTGGGAGATATTGCCATTTTATTGCATCCAAAGTGCCACTGTGGAAAGCTTATCGCTGTTTTCTCCTTCAGCGGGAAGAGGCCAACGAAGCGGGTGTGTTAGTTACGCAGATCCCTAAAAGGCACTTTATAGTTTTCATACTGGACAGTGAGGTACACAGGATATATTTCTAGGGTTCATGGTTGTTAAAAAACAAAAAAAAACAAAAAAAGAGGAGGAGGAGGAGTAGCACCATGATGTGACGTCAGCTGAGAGCGTGGCTCTCTCATGTTCTTCTCATGCACACTTGGCACCGACTGACATGTGTGCGCAGCTCCCCTGCCTTCAAGGTGGACGGCGTGGGCTTCCTGCAACAGTGCAGACGGCCGTCAGTGTGCCCCGCTGCCCACCGCAGCCTGGCACCCGGACCCTCCTACTAACAGTCACGACCAACTCCACCCTCCCTGGGCAGGCACCTTCTGGGAGCCCGAGGCCCACCCAGTCCCAGGTGCTGCAGCTGAGACCCCACCTCCAGCTGCGCCCCCCCCTGCTGTGTTCCAGCTGCAGCACCCATAGCAGCACCCACCCTGAGACCCCGCCTACAGCTCCCACAACTCCACTTTCCTCTTCTCTCCTCCAACCCCTCGGGGCAGGAGAGACAACTGTCTTTTGCAGCGCCCTCAAGCACTGGGTGAACGTGTGTCCCCCATCAGGGAACAACGCTGGGGAAGAGAAAGCAGAGCTCCAAGTGCTCCGAGCGCCTCCGATGGACTCGTGGGCAGATTGCATCACCGCAGGTTCGGGGCCCCAAGTGATCCCTGCTCTAGGAAACCACCTGGCTTGATGTGGAAAGGTGGGCTCAACTAAGGTTAGTGCTGACCAAGTTCAACTCAAGGAGCCAGAGAGAAAGCTTTGTCCCAAAACGAAAGTTGCTGGTTTTAGCAACTTTCACTGAAAATTCCTGAAACCCTTCTCCCAATTTTCTAAATGAATGGGGTTTTCCCCTAATTTCACCTGAGAAGGCATTTTAGCTGGTTCAGAAAAGCCTAACTGTTGCCTACTGACCCTGTTACAGGAGTGGGCAGCAGCCAGGACATGATCAGGCGAGCCCATTTCCACCTGCAATGGTGGGATTGCACCTGCATGAAGCCCTCCACGAGCCACGGCTCAGGCACCTGGCACGAGGGCCGCGTCTGCGTGCCTGTGGCCCGCAGTGCTCACAGCGGCAGTCGCTGTTCTTCCTTCCAGGGTGGGACACACTGACTCAGACAATGGAGGGCAGCGGCCGGGCACCTGTGCTGCTCACTGAAGGTGGGGCGGGATGGGGGCTGGCCGGCTTCCACTCAGCAAGGCCGGTGGCCTGGAGGGGTGCATTTGGTAACGTAAGAGGAAGGAGGGGCAGTTCCCATCACATTGGGCTACAGGAACACACAGGATTCTGGGGCATTTTCAGAACCCACCCAGCGTATGCTCTGCCACAGCACAGCCAACAGGCCGCTTGCCATGCCCATCTCACTGATGCCAACCACCCTGGCAGGAGCACTCAACAACACGCACAGTGAGGCAGACAGGAGGCCTCAGGTGGGCCCAAGGCCTGCCTTCGCAAGCTACCTGGGCTGTCACGGATGCATGACAGGACAGGAGGTAGAGGCATGGCGGCCCCGGGCCCAGGGCAGACAGGGGCTCACTCACTTGAACATCTCGCTTCTCTCGATGGTGGCGAGCCAGAAGCTGTATGCGTTGGCGTAGTAGTTGCAGGTCCCACGGCCATGGCACTCGATGAACGGTGCACTTCTAAACTCTTCCAGACAGGAGCCGGGGGAAGCAAGGGCTTGGCCGGAACCTTCAGCACCGGCACTGGTGTGCTGTCGACCGGAAAGGGACCAGCGTCAGAGATCATCTCCAGGCACCCTGTGCATCACCGGGCAGCACCCACTGTGCCCACATGCCCGTCCCTGAGGGCTGGACAGGCTGTGCTAGAACCAGCAGGCGGCTCCCCACAAGAGGAGGCAACCAGTCCGAAGTCTCAGGGCACAGGGGATTCCACCTAGTGGGGTGGATTTGGACACCAAAGCCCGACCTAACACATGGCATGAAACACCAGCCAATGTGCGGGCAACAGCGGTACCAACTGACAGGAGATCTGACTCCCACATTTGGCACACGGAAGGCATAAGATGGTACAGAATAATCACCAGCCTTTACTTTCTTCAGAGAGACTTGACACTAAGCACTGACGCTCACTGGACTGCATCTCGGCCTAGGGGACCCATGTGGGCCCACAGCCCTTACCCCGACCGGCTGGCACACTGAGGCCGTTACCGGGCAGCCCTGGGACACCACCAGTGGGAGTGACAAATGTGACCTCCACACGCTCAGAGCTGTCAGGGACCTGTGAACGCCATGCAGCCCAGGCCAGGCTCCCGGGGCCGTACACCAGAGCCTCCTCTGCTCCTGGACTGGGCAATGAGAGCTCACCCCGGTGCACATCTAGGACTCCAGGCGAGAGGTAGAGCTGCCCCAAGATCATGTGATTGCTGAGTCAAGAACTGCACCTGCCCTGCAGTACAAACCGCCTGTTCAGCTCGGGTCAGGGCCTTGGCCACCCCGGACTGCCATCCCGTGAGTGGCACCCAGAATGCCACACGGGGCTACCGCCTTGCCCTGCCCGCCCTGGTGGCTGGCTTTGGACACACGGATCTGCGACAGTGCCAGGAACCCAGTCCAGCGCACACTTCTACTTGAAGATACATATCATGGTTTTAGCCAGATTTTTACTACATGGTTTGATAGCGTCACCCCCACACTTACCATCACGAAGGAGTAGCCGATCCACAGCGAGGACCAGCCGTTGGGGCACGGTGGGATCTGGATGGTCTGGCTGTGCACTGCCATCACCATGGCCGGTGCCTCACACACAGCGCACCTGCAAAGCAGGGAGAAAGTTCAGTGCGGCATGGGGGCGGAGCTCAGCATTATTATGGGGACTTGAAGTGCCGCCCCCGGCAGGCTCCCCCACCCCAGCCCTGTTTAAAGTGAAGGGTTCTATGTCACTGATAGCCTCAGAAAGGATGCTTGAGGACCTGCTCAAAGACAGACCTGGGTCAATGGAAACCAGCGCACTCAGGACAGAAGAGGGCAACCCGAACCCTTGCACTTGCCTGGGACATGACCTGGGAGGGCCCCCAACGTGGGATTCCCAGGGGTCCACAGAGGAAGATGGCAAAGCCCTGGCACATTCTGTTTCTGCTAGAACTAAGAGTGAGAGTTGGCATGTGGTGCACTAAGCTGACACCCCACATGGGAGTGCCAGTTCTAGCCGTGGCTACTCTGCTTCCATCAGCTCCCTGCCTATGTACCTGGGAAGGCAGCAGGGCATAACCCAGTAGCTTGGCCCCTATCACCCACATGGGAGTCCCAGACGGAATTCTGGATTCCTGGCCTTAACCTGGACCAGTCCCAGCTGCTGTGGCATTTGGGGAGTCAATAGCAGATGAAAGATTTCTCTTCCTCCCCCTGTCTCCAATCCTCTGCCTTTCAAATCAATCAAAAAATAGTATGCCCCCTGTGTCATCAGCCAAATCAAGGTCAAGTGTCAACGCTATCAAGAAGGAAAAATGGAAATCATGCAGATGAGCAATCATTGTCTACCTGTTGTCCAAGGAAAGCTAGAAAGAGAAAACCGCAGAAGTTGTTAGTCAACGGGAAGGACTAAGAGCAGCACAGGCAACAGACACACACAGCAGGCCTCCCCCGGCCGCCTGGCTCCAGGGGCTCTCTCAGTAAAGGCGGGGTCCCCGGGGCCCTCCCCCACCCACCAGCCCCTCCCTGCAGCACGCTTGCTGGCAGCCATGTTCAAAGGCCGCTCCTTTCATAAAGGCTTGGCTCTCCCCAAGCACAGTCACTCCGAGCTCCATCACACTATACCAGGTCAACATGCAAGAGGGCATGGGCAGAAATGCCCCTTACTCAGGCGCCACTCCCGTGAGCAGAATGCGGGACACAGCTGAGTAAGTGGCTATGACTGGAAGGCAGTGCCAGGGCAGCCCAAGCCTGGACTTGCCAGTCCTCACGACTTAGACCTCCCAGCCCAGCCCTGCTCTGCTACGTCTCGAGGACCCAGCAGCAGGCTCCATTTGCCGGGGTGGACAACCGGGGGAAGTTGTTCAGAAAAGTCCATGCACCGCAACCGGGGCACGCTCACTCAAGACTGTGAAATCACCATGGCTGAGCGAGTGTGGAGAGATCAGAGAAGCTAACGCCAGCACCTAAGGCGACAGCCAGTATGCCCGTGCAGCTGGTTGCCAGCAGACCACTCCGGGCCAGAGAGGCCGATGCTGAGCCCTGGCGAGGGCCCTGTGCCCAGGCAGAGAATGCAAACAGGTGCACCTGCTGTGGAACTCAGTCCAGTGGCTCCTAGGAACCTTTGAAATCGGTGCTGCCATTATGGCACAGAGGGTTAGGCTGCCCAGCATCCCATAAGGGCACAGGCTCCCGTCCCGGCTGCCACGTCAACCCAGCTCCCTGCCCATGTGCTCGGACCACCGCACCCACATCAGAGACCCAGAAGAAGCTCCTAGATCTTCAGCTCAGCCTGGCCCAGCCTTGACTGCTGTTGTTTACAGAGCAAACCAGCAGATGGAAGATCCTTCTCGCTCACCCTCTCTGCAGCTCTGACCTGCAGAGCTGACTGTATTTACGGAAAGGGGGAAACTGAACATCACACGAATACAGGATCAGTAATTCCGCTCCCAGACCCAGCAGCAGTGAAGGCAGTGACTGAACACCTGTGCTCACAGCCGCTGGGTTCATGGCAGCAGCCAGAGATGTACAGGAGCTTCTCAAACGTGCAGGAGCCAGTGAAGGGAAACACACAGCGCGCCGAGGGCACAGCACACAGACGGGCACACGTCCACACAGCATGCTGAGGGCACAGCGCACAGACGGGCACACATCCACACAGCATGCTGAGGGCACAGCGCACAGACGGGCACACGTCCACACAGCGCACCGAGGGCACAGCGCACAGACGGGCACACGTCCACACAGCATGCTGAGGGCACAGCGCACAGACGGGCACACGTCCACACAGCGCGCCGAGGGCACAGCACACAGGCGGGCACACGTCCACACAGCGCACCGAGGGCACAGACGGGCACACGTCCACATAGCATGCCGAGGGCACAGCGCACAGACGGGCACACGTCCACACAGCATGCTGAGGGCACAGCGCACAGACGGGCACACGTCCACACAGCGCACCGAGGGCACAGCGCACAGACGGGCACACGTCCACACAGCATGCTGAGGGCACAGCGCACAGACGGGCACACGTCCACACAGCGTGCCGAGGGCACAGCGCACAGACGGGCACACGTCCACACAGCGCGCCGAGGGCACAGACGGGCACACGTCCACACAGCGCGCAGACGGGCACAGACGGGCACACGTCCACACAGCGCGCCGAGGGCACAGCGCACAGATGGGCACACGTCCACACAGCATGCTGAGGGCACAGCGCACAGACGGGCACACGTCCACACAGCATGCTGAGGGCACAGCGCACAGACGGGCACACGTCCACACAGCATGCTGAGGGCACAGCGCACAGACGGGCACACGTCCACACAGCGTGCTGAGGGCACAGCGCACAGACGGGCACACGTCCACACAGCGCGCCAAGGGCACAGCGCACAGACGGTCACACATCCACACAGCGCGCCGAGGGCACAGCACACAGACGGTCACACATCCACACAGCATGCTGAGGGCACAGCGCACAGACGGGCACACGTCCACACAGCGCGCCGAGGGCACAGCGCACAGACGGGCACACGTCCACACAGCATGCTGAGGGCACAGCGCACAGACGGGCACACGTCCACACAGCATGCTGAGGGCACAGCGCACAGACGGGCACACGTCCACACAGCATGCCGAGGGCACAGCGCACAGACGGGCACACATCCACACAGCGCGCCGAGGGCACAGCGCACAGACGGGCACACGTCCACACACATGGGATGTGATTTGCGCTTAAAAAATGAAGGGCATTCTGACACAGCTGTGACGACATCACACCCATGAAGTGGGCTGGTCACAGAAAGACAAACACTGCAGGATCCCATGGGCAGTGTTATGTTGAGCACAGTTCAAGGTCAGACTGGGGAGGAACTGGAATGGGTCTCCTGGGGACAATTTTGCGAAGCAGTAAGGGTGGTAGAGGTGGGGGAGTGGGCTATACCACAGCACGTGGGCACACTGGAAATGGTCACAGTCGTAATTTGATTGGATGCATATTTTACCACAATGAAAAATCTTTATTTTGTGACCATCTCAAGTGAGCAGGGTGATTCTGCACCCCGTATCTGTGTGGTTGGATCTGAATCTCACTTCTGCTTCCCATCCAGCCTCCTACGCATGCCCACCTTGGAGGCAACACAAGACAGTTCAAGGACCGGGCTCCTGCCATTAGCAGGGCAGACCGGAAGCAGCTCCAGGCTTGCAGCAGCGGCCTGGCCCAACCTTGGCCATTGCAGATATTGGGAGAGGCATCTTTGTCTCTCTCCTGGATTTCCAAATACACAAATCTTCAAAAGAGCTGAGGACACCATGATGGGAAGCTGCAGAGAAACGGAGCAGCCACCTTGGCCCCACTTCAGGGAGCCACACAAGTGCCTACATCAGCTCATTCCACGGCTGGTTTCCATGGTAAAACCCAAACAGCACAGCTGATGAACCAATGGCCAAAAGACTTCAGGGGGAAAATGACCAAAACCAGAAAGGACCTTTGTCCTGGCGCTCTCCCTCACTGCCCCGTGCGACGGATGCTCGGCTCACCTGCTGATGAAGGGCCTGATGTTGTCCCCGGTGACGGGCGCCATGGACATGGGCATGGGCTCGGGGGTGGAGAGCCAGTAGGAGTAGTCGTTGCGGGAGGCGAAGTTACACACGTTGTTGATGTTGCAGAATAGGAAGGGCATGGTGCTGAACTTCCGCAGGCAGCTCCCGGCCGTGCCTGAGTGCAGGCAAAGACCCACAGGGCTGTGTGAGCGCGCCCCCGCACTCCGCAAGCCCCTGGATCCACTTCCACAGCAAACAACTCCAGCAGCCAACAACGAAGGCCTTGGTTCCACAGGCACACGCAGCGTGACATCAAGGGGCAGGTGTCGGGCACGACACTCAGACACTGCCTAGGAGCCTGCACCCACGGCCGAGGGTCTCGCCTGAGGCTTGGCCCCTCCACTGCCGCTCCAGCTCCCTCACGTCCTGGGAGGCAGCGGGACGGCTCAACACCCACGTGGGAGGCTTGCGTGGAACCTGGGGCTCCAGGTCAGCCTGGCCCAGCCCTGGCATTACGGGGCAACTGGGAGTGAATGAGCACTTGGGAGTGCTATCTGTGTGTGTGGACACAGGAACAGCCTATGTGTGTATACACAACAATAGCCTCTGTGTGTGTCTCTCTGTGTGTGTACACAGGAGCAGTGTGTGTGTGTGCGTGTTTATGCCTTTGGAATCAAGTGAAAATAGTTCTTAAATGGAAACTCAAATTTCTTAACTATGAAAAAGAAGGAAAGAATTAAACAGATCAGCATTCCTGCCACGATCCCGCAAAGGGAAGTGAACAAGGATTCTACTGCGCATTTCTGATGATCGGGAACAAGTCCGCTTCCTGGCAGAGAAACCTCTCCCCAAGGCTGGAGCCCTGAGGAACTCAGCGCACAGTCAGGACCCGGGGCACAGCGCACACTGGGCAGTGCCCCAACAGCCGTGCCCAAACACAGCCGCCTGTCGACACTAACCTCAATCGGAGAGCAGGCCACTGGGGACTCCAGGGGCAGGCCACCACTGCAAGCCAGCTCGACCTAGCCCACGGGAGGGGGCTCCCCGCCGACCTAGCCCACAGGAGGCTCCTGGGGGCAGGCTGCCACTGCAAGGCAGCTCCTCTCTGACCTAGCGCCCTGTGGGATGAGCTTTGCCAAGCTCAGCCATTTTGCCCATTTTGGTGGGAACTGTTCCAAGAGCACCCCAGGAGTCTTGGTCCTCCATAATGCTATCTGAAAACAAGTTCTAAAGTTGGACTTGTTTCAACAGTTCCCATGGCTCAGCCTGTCCACCCCTGGGCAGCTGTGACCCAGTGCCCCCCACAAGGCCAGGGATCGAGCAGGTGCATCCCTTGCCACGCCACACCAAACCGCAGCTGTGCCCATGGGAGGACCACGCGGCTCCGTGGGGCCTTACCCAGGTCCTGGCCGTGAGCCCGCTCGTTGCCTTGCACGTACAGCAGGGAGTACCCGTGGTAGAGAATTTTGGTCCCAGGAGGACACTGAGGGTCATCGATGGTTTGACTGTGCCTGGTCACTAGGAAGCCGTGGTCAACGGAGGGGGTACCCGGAGGCCCCATGGAGCCTGGCAGCCCATCAGGGCCTGGGGGGCCAGGAAACCCTCTAGGACCTGGGGGGTGGGACAGAGAGAAAGCCAAGTCCAGGTCACAAGCAGGCTACACGCAGAGCCTCCGGCTCATCTCACAGGCGGGTCCAGCCTCTTGCCTTCCCACAGTGTCTCATCTCACACTGCCCAGAAGGTGCACAGCCAACCGAGGCAGCCCCACAGCCCGGTCTCCCGGCCTCTCGTCTCTCCACAACACCCCCAAGATGTCTGCCTAGGCAGGTGCTTGGGCCAAAGCAGGTTCATTTCAATGAACAAACAAAACAGGTGGACCAGGCCCAAGGGCCAGTGAACCAGTTCACAGCACAAGCTCACGTGTGTCAATCACGAAGCCCTTGGGGACAACATGTCCTGCCCCCAGGGTGACCACATCATGCCAACCTGTCACAGACCTGCCAGGTTGTGGGCTGTGTTAATAAAGGCCCTCATCCTTGAGCGTCACCATGATGGGATGTTCACATGAGCTCCCGCCCGAGGGAACAGGTGGAGCCAATCCCGCACTGGACGGAAGCACTGGTCGCCAGCTCTGCTTCCCCCCGCCCACTGCCAGTGAGCCTATCCGTACCTGCAGCCTGCTAACCCTGCAGGAAAGCCCGCAGCCCCCAGCGCGGGCCCCTCTCCCACAGGACACCCTGACCTCTCAGAAGGGCTATTTCCCACTCCCCTGGGCAGCTTCCCCAAGCCAGGGCGCACTGCTTCTGAGCCCAAGATGCAGGGTGGTGAGGCCGGGCAGCCCAGGAACCTACCTGGAGGCCCAAACGGCCCTTGCTCCCCTTTCTGGCCAGGTGCACCGTCAAAGCCAGGAACGCCTGGGGGGCCAGGTGTGCCCACTGAGCCTGTCACACCTACAGCAAAGAATTCCACAGTGAGGCTCAGAGGCCGGCAAGCTTCCTGTGTGTGCCTGCAGGCCAGGATGGGAGTGCGGGGACCCCGAGGGCCATCACATCAGTGTGTGTGCCTGGTCCCCTCCGTGTTCCCAGGATAGGGCCAGACAGGCAGCCACGAGACTTCCTCCCCAGCTACATTCCCACGCCGCATTTGGAGGCGACAGCTGCACTGGTGTGGGTCGTGCTGCGGTGTCCTTGACATGCTTTACTCCGAGGGAGCTTCGCACTAAAGCTGCAGCATGCCTTCGGCGCTGCGTGTTGCCCTCGCATCGACCTGCCACCATGCCCACCAGTGGCACCTGAACCTGGATATGCTAAGCTCAGAAGAGCACAAGGGTCACAGGCCTGTGCGTGGCCCAGGACTGCTGGGCCCCGGGGTAGAGTGCCAGCAAGCAGGAACAGGGGCTGGGGCCCCTCGCCTCTGCCCTTATCTTCCGGCAGGGAAGGAGCAGGTGCCAGTTCACCACGCCCTGGAGTCCCCAGCTGAATGCAGGAACGTAGTGGCATGGGGTCCCCGGCTTCTTTTCATACCCTAAGACGGCATGTGGCGTTGATACACACTAGCAAAAGGCAGGTGGCTTTCCATAACCACCTGGAATCCTGACTGCCAACATGCAGCAAAAGTGAAGTCCCGCCCACTCCCACTCCACCCCCTGCACTGCCCGGGGACCTTACCTTGCTGTCCTTTAGGGCCTGGAGGTCCCTGAAGCCCTTTCAGCCCAGGGGGACCTTCAGGGCCAGGGAGCCCCGGTTCACCTTTGATGATGTCATACGGTCCAGGGGGTCCAGGGGGTCCAGGAAGACCTGCAAGATCAGACGCCAAGCGTCACTCCCACAATGGGCCCCGCCACTGGAGCCTCGGAACACATGCACGGGCTCCGCCATCTTCTTTTCAGGCTGGGACCCTGAACTCTAGGCTCAGCGTGCAGCCCGCTCTGAGCCACGGACTGGCCTCAGCCACAGACGTGAGTGTCAGGTGTGGCATCGATGAAAACGTCACCCACACAGACCCCCAGTGCTACAAACGGCTTTTAGTCAACGTTCTCTGACGACGTGCGAGGAACCAACCCCTGCGTGCCCAGCGGCTGTGCCCCCAGCCCATGAGAAGGCATCGCAGGCTGCCGGCATCTCCTACCTTTAGGTCCAGGGATGCCTTGATCTCCCTGGTCGCCTTTGATTCCCTGCAGGCCGGGAACACCTTTCTGACCTGTACAGGAAGAGAATGGCACCGTGGCACAGGGTTCCCCAAAAACATGCAAATATGGGTACCGAGCCTTGCACACCAGCACACCAGCATGTCTGTATATATACACACGTGTACTCACACGCATGGGCCTCTACGCGCACACCTAAACACAACAAGCTGAAACGACCACAACCCTTGGCGGGCACATGACACTGGCTAACTCACACGTGTCCCCACACAGGCCAGAAGGCACCTGCAGGCTGCACTCTCGCTTCACTCACGGAACCCACACATCCGATTCAGTAATAAAATCACAATGCATGGAAGCCAGTGGCACCCGGAACTGCTTGCTCAACACACTCATCAGTGAACAACTGATCCAAATCCACGACTTGCTCTGAGGTGCAGCCCACCGAGAGGCGCAGCCCACCGAGAGGTGCAGCCCACCGAGAGGCGCAGCCCACCGAGAGGCACAGCAGCCCCCGACTCCCACAGAAACCAGAGCGCCATTTCTGTGGGACAGGTACCTCCCTGCCACACAGCAGCGCCATGTTTTAGCCCAAGGGGACACTGGGCTCTTTATGGAGCAGCGTGACTCCCCTCGACAGCAGTGGCAGGATGCACGTCCTTACCTTGAAATCCTGGAACGCCGGGGGGCCCCATATCGCCCTTGGAGCCCGTGATTCCTGGGGAGCCGCCAATGCCCTGTGCAGACAGACAGTGTCAGCTAGAGCAGCCGCTGGGTGCCAGCAGAGGCAGGTTTGCGGGAAAACACCCCGCTGGTTTCTTCAGCAATAACGCCCTTTGCACCTGGACCAGGAGGCTGGGAATGTGAGAACTAGCTGCCTTACTCCCTGTGTCTCCTCGGCACGGCCTCATCCACGGGGGTTTCCTCGGAAACAGGCGACATTTTGCTGCTTCTGTCATGTCCCAATGCCCCAAAGTCGGGGCCCCATAAACACCCATCTAGCTGCACACACCCAACTGCCCCCCAAAAATGGCCATTTCTCCCAAGAACAAGTCCCACGGCTGATCTGAAAAATACTTCAACTGCAGAAAAGACTGGATGGTAGTAGAGCAGGGAAATTCCCCTCTGCAGTATCATGTGTTTTAAACCATCAGCTTGTTTACTCACTATTTTACTATTGTTCCTTTCTCAGGGCACACGTGACAACAACACCCATTCGTTTGCTTGATCTTACTTTACAAGTGCCACGGCCAAATACTGTGCAAAGAACACATGTGCATAGAGATCCACACACACTCAGACACACGGGTATGGACGCCCTGTGAGCAGGGAGCCTGGCAGCAGAGGCAGGCCGCTGGCACAGGCGTGCAATCACATACTGCCTGGTATGCCCAGCATCTAACGGGCACAAGGCACAGACAGAAGCGATCGCTGCCAGGCATGTGCCCTATATTGCTAAGCTGAGGACGGCTGAGGCACCAAGTCTCCCCTGAGAAAGTGCCCTGTGCCTGCACGCCGTCCGCCTGCTCCTGCTGCATTATGGGGCTCACGGGAGTCCCCTGAGCTCCTGCACCACCACGGGGCACCCCGGAATCCTGCCGCAGTTCATGTAGCGTTAGCCCATGACTCATGCGTCAGCGGCCTCCTATGCTAACTCTTCTGCTGGCCAGAGGAGGGGCAGGGAGGGAGGCAGCCCGTTACCCACAGATGAGGAAAGCCGGAACCGGAAAAGACAAAGGTCACCACTCACCGGCATGCCCTGGAAGCCCTGGTCTCCCTTGGGCCCTGGCAGCCCAGGCACGCCTGGCCACCCTGGACTGCCCTTGTCTCCCTTGAGTCCATCAAGTCCAGGGAGCCCTGGTGGCCCCATGGGTCCCGGAAGCCCTAAAGAGAGAGAGCAGTCACAGGTGAGGGCTGGCAGCTGACCGTGTGTAGGAGAGGCCCCTGGGCTGTGCTGCTGTAGTCCTGCCACCTGCCTGCCCCGGCCCTAGAACACCCTCCAAGGCAGATCCTAAAAGAGGAACACGCTGCCATGGCCCCAGTGCCCAGGACCTTGTGCCACTGGGAACGCACCAGCCCTGGGCAGGGGAAGGCCTGAGGACGCCAAGCTGACATGAGGCACTGAGAAGCTGGCACCTGTGCAGGCTCCATCCACAGTCTCTTCTTGTCCCCCTCTTAACTCCCCCAGGAGGAAGGATGTGAGCGAAGCCTTGACCCTGTGGGGCCCCATAACGCATCCGAGCCGTAACACACTGCAGACGTCTGCAGGTGCACGGCTCCCTAATGCAGGCTTTCCACTGGCTTTTCTCGGGGACCCTGCTCCAGCTGGCAGCGGGATGAGGCTCACCTGGCAGGCCTGGCTGTCCTTGGGGGCCTCGGTCCCCTTTGGGCCCCTCCACAGGGCGGCCGGGAGCTCCGGGCAACCCTGGCTGTCCTTGGGGCCCGGGAGGACCCATGAATCCTGGCTCGCCCTTGGGTCCAGGGATCCCGGGGCTGCCGGCTAGTCCTGGGAAACCCACGTCGCCTTTGGAACCTACATGGAGAGAGACGAGCTGAAGACAGGCAGCTCAACCAAGCATGGCCCACCACGTGCCCATTCCCAGTCCGGGAGTCCCTCAGCGGGGCAAGGGTGGCAGGGTCCCAAGGTGGGCACTCTGTTGTCTTAAAATAGCACACTAGGACCCTCCATGGCCAGGCCTAGAAGAGAGCATGTTAACGTAACGAGACTCTGGCATCCTCCTCCACAGGCGCAAAAGCAGCACCCTGTGCCAGGGCATCTGGGCACAGGAAGCAGACAGCTGTGCTGCTGACAGAAAGCCTGGTTCCCTAGCCACCTGGCACAGCTCTGTCCGGAAGTAAGGGAACTCAGGAGCTCTAGCCATGTGCTGTTGCATGCACAAAGCCAGGAGTGCCCATGGTGCATGGTGCCTCTCCACCTGCAGGGAACGCAAGCCCGGACACAGCCAGGCACACAGGCCCAGCTGCCTGGCAGTGGTGATCTCCCCCCACCCCAGCCTTCCAACAGCCACAAAGGGGCACTCATGGGATTTCCTAGCACAGCCAGTACAGGAGTTGCACAGACTTGGAGGAAAGGAAAGACAAGTTCTGACCCCATGACCGGGCAGGACACACACTATCCTTGGGACATGCTGGCACACATGCGGCTGGTGGTCAAGGGGGCGGAGGGGGTGACCAGGGGGGCAAGGGCTGGGGGCATGCACTACCTTTGTCTCCTTTGCTTCCTGGTAACCCTGGGACTCCTCTTCCTGGCAGGCCTGCAAGACAAGAAAGGCCCAGTCCAAGGTCTCCTCATCCCCTGGGCCAGAGCGGTGCCTGGGGCCCCGGACCCCTGTGGGACCTGTGTGGGACCTCTTGGGCCCACACAACACCTTCGTGGGACCCGAGGAATCAACAGTTCATGCCCTCTCTGTGCCCTCCCTGTGCCCTCTCTGTGACTGTGTGTGCCCTCTGTATGCCCAGGCCACACCACTGTGGGAACCCAGGAGTCGGCAGCCCGTGCCCTCTGTACATCTGCTGTGCCCGCACTGCCTCTGCCAGCGCCCCTTGTTGTGGCATCAGAACTCATTCCCAGGTTGCTGCAGGACACCTGGCAGGCCACGTCGTGTTTTGTCCCAAGAACTTTCTAGCTCAGAACCATCACAGCCTTCAGCGGAGAGGCCTGAGCGGCTCAGTTCCATTCCTGCCACTGGAAACCAAGGTGGGCGTTCTAGGGGCCCATCCAGCAAGGCGCCACCGTGAAGCCACAGCGTCCGGGCAGCCGGCCCCTGGTGACAGCAGGTGACGGGAGGGGCAGATGGCAGTCAGCATGGCGCTGCCCTCTGAGCTCTGCTTGAGTGACCATTTGTGCACCATCCACAAACGGGCAGTGCATGCGAGAAAGAGGCCAGCCTCAACAGCCCTCCCCACCCACCCGGTTCAGGCGCCTTTCATCTCATCTGCTCCCCAGCACGTGACGGTCCCCATAGCAGGGGGCAACTGCAGCCCCTCATCCACAACAGGAGCCAATCCAGGGACCAAGAAGCATTTCCCAAACCACCTTTCAGACATGGCAGAGAGCCAGTGCCAGGGCATGGGCAGAAGGCTCCCGCCATGAGCAGCATGCAGGCTGCTCCCTGGGCATCTGGAGCGAAATCCCTGCTTCCCTTTTCTTACCCAATCCTGACACACCTGCCCGTGGTGAGGTTCAAACAGCTGCTAGCCAGCCGCACACTCAACCTGCTGTGTCCACTGAGTGGGGCGTGCTTGTCTGGGAGTGGGCAGTGTGGGAAGAGAGGGGGTGGGACGTACCTGGCTCGCCCTTCTCCCCCGCAGACCCTGGGATTCCATCACTGCCTGGCTCGCCCTTCTGGCCAGCTGGACCCACAGGACCAGGCTGCCCGGGAACTCCTGAGAGAGAAAGGCCACATGGTCACCCATGGGTGCCACATGGTCACCCATACAGGCACTCAGGGAGCCCCTGGTCTTCAGCTGTAAAGCCCACATCTGAAACCCTCCAGGGGCTGCGCCAAGGCTCACCCTGGCATCACCGACCTACTCGAGCTGGTCCCAGATCCCCAGGTCACCCACACACCATGCAGAGAATGGGGCCCTGGAAAGACCCCCTCAGCTCCTGGCCTAGAGTGCTCATCTGAAGATGGGGGGCAGGCCTCGTGACCTCACCCTGGAGGGCAGCTCCCCAGAGACTGCAGGTCTCCCAGCCCCCCACATCCTACCTGTACCCCAGGGAGGGGTCCCCACCTGCTTCTCCTTTGATGCCGGGGAAACCAGCCAATCCTGGAAGACCTTTGTCACCTTTCTCACCAGGCAAGCCTGGGCTTCCTGAAGGAGAAACGGGTGACGAGTGATAAGTCTGGCTTGTCCTCGTCTTCTCTGGGGCCTGCCCCGTCCCAGCAGGGGCCCCTGGGCACCTACCCGGATAGCCGACGCTCCCTGGAGACCCCTTAGGGCCCGGAGACCCTGGCATTCCTGGAATCCCGGGGGTGCCTTTCTCCCCCTTCTCTCCAGGGCTTCCTGGGAATCCAGCCACGCCTGGGTCTCCCTGTGAGAGAACAGTGAGCAATGCAGTTAACGGGGCCATAATATCCCCCGGGGACCTGGCTGTCACCCAGACAGACGCCAGGGCCACACCCAAGGGTCCTTCCAGAACATGTCCTGCTGCCTGTTCAGGCCCTACAAGCACCCCGGGGTGACCTGGGTGGTGACCCCGGCCTGAGTGCCACCCCCACAGTGGGAGGCTGCACTGTGCAGGATGGGGAATGTCCAGCCACAAAATCACCTGGGCTGGCCAAGGCAGCCAAACTCCAAATTCAGTCAAGCTGCAGAAGGTCAAGTTTAAGTCTGGGTAGCCTCTGAATGACATCATAAATACCCAAATGACCCTTGGCGGAAACAATGACAAGAAAAACACCAAGTGTGTGCAGGCTGGGCATGTTTGTGTGAACAGCTCTGACCCTGAGCAGCCACGTCCACGGCTGTGAAACCACGGCTGTGAAACCACAGGGATGGAGGCAGCAGCCGGCCCTTCCCAAGCTCTCCGCACAGGATGCAGGCCACTGTGACAGCAACCAGAGCCCAGAGCCCAGGCCACTGTGACAGCAAGCAGAGCCCAGGCCACTGTGACAGCAGAGCGGGGACCAGAGCCCAGGCCACTGTGACAGCAGAGCGGGGACCAGAACACAGGACCTCATCTCTGCCACCAGGTCCTCCTTTCCTCCCTCGCTCTGGGCCAGCATGCCACCTGCTCCTCCACAAGACCTTACTTCTAGATCCTTCCTTAGGGCAGAAGTTGTGAACAGGGGAGGCAGAAGGGCACAGGTGCTGGGCAGGGGGCGGTACTGCGTCTCCATCCCCCGTGATGGGGAGGGAGGGTATGTCCTCATGGGAGGCTGTCACCTTGTCGCCAGGCCTTCCGGGGATCCCGATGCCAGGCAGACCCGCCTGGCCCTTCTCTCCTTTGGCTCCCTTTTCTCCAGGTAAGCCAGGCATGCCCTGAGGGCCAGGGATGCCAGGCACACCTTTTTCTCCAGGGGTTCCTGTAATCACAAACAATATTTCAGCTTGAATGTAAAGTCTGTGCCTGCTGACAAAGCATCCAACACACCCACCTGCCGAGGACCCAGCCGACATCAGCCACCCCCTCTACGTTAAAGGCCATAAGCATACAGCGAGGCAACACGGCAGCTCGGACCACCGCCTTGCCAAGGCTCCGAGCTTCCCCAGTTCACACTGACGCCCAAGCTGCTGTATGAGGCAGGCCCTGAACAGCAAGCGGACAGAGGGAGCGTCCTGCACAGCAGGGGCCACTCCTACAGGCACAAGCAGTGCCCAGCTGCAGACACTCAAGGACAGCCCGCCTCCAGGGGCTCAGGGAAAACGGAGAGGCCTCCTGTCTTGGTTTTGCCCCTTTCTTGTCCCCAGTAGGACAACCCAGAGGAGTCTAGGGGCCCCCTTCTCCCCCTGTCCTTCTGGCTGCTTCCCAGGGAGCAAAGCTGGCAGGCAGTTGCACCCCAGAACAGAGGGCTCAGAAGCCCAGAATCCAGAACAAGGGCCGCTGATGCCCAGAGAGGGGCCGCCACACAGGTATCCTGTGGAGCTGGCCATGTCTGACCCTACCACAGCCATGGGCAGTGCCACCACACCATCCACCTCCAGGCAGGAGGAGGGTGTGAAGAGACTGAGGCCAGTGCTGTGGCATAGCAGGTGCAAATGCCAACATGGGCAACCCATGTGGACGCTGGTTAGCATCCCAGCTGCTCCACTTCTGCTCAGCTCCCTGCTGACGCGTCCAGGAAAGCATGGCCAGGGGGTCTGCCTGAATTAAGCTCCTCACTTCTGCATGACCCAGCCCTGGCCACTGCAGCCATTTGGGGAGAGAACAAACAGATAGAAGATCTCTCTCTCTCTCCTCTCTAGTCAGACTTTCAAACAAATAAACAAATCTTGGAACACACACACATCTTGGTCAATGTGGCAGTGCCCATCCTACAAAGCCCTCCCACAAGGCAGCATGTGGGAACCCCTGAACACCCCTTACCTGGCAAGCCCATGCCACCGACGGAGCCTTTAGGTCCAGGGAGTCCAGGAGCACCTGGGGTCCCACTGATGCCTGGATCCCCTTTTGGGCCTGTAGGGAGACAAAAGTGGACTCACAAGTTGCTGACCCCATGGCCGGGGAATGCAGACTCCTCCACACGCAATCCACGTACCTGGCTGTCCTGGCTGTCCCACCTGGCCATCCTTCCCAGGCATTCCTGGAGTTCCAGGGTCTCCTCGGGATCCCTTGTCACCAGTCGGTCCAGTTTGTCCTGTGCGTCAGAACAGCCATGGGACCCCTGCTTTCTGGGCAAGCGCACCCCGCAGAAGCACAGGCTGTGAGGCCGCTCCCGTCAGCAATCAGGACCCGTTCCCCTCCCCCTACCTTTCTCTCCCTGGTCTCCCTTCTGTCCTTTCATGCTGCCCATGTCCACTTTGTCCATGGAGCCAGGTTTGCCTGGGAGCCCGACATCTCCTTTGTCACCCTTGAAGCCGGGGTCTCCTCTGGGTCCCGAGGATCCTGGGAAGCCTTGGTCCCCTGCAGAGGAAGGGGGCACAGTAAGGGGTGGCCACGGTGAGGGGCGGCCACGCTGATGGGCAGCCACGCTGATGGGCGGCCACGCTGATGGGCAGCCACGGTGATGGGCGGCCACGGTGAGGGGCGGCCACGGTGAGGGGCGGCCACGCTGATGGGCGGCCACGGTGAGGGGTGGCCACAGTGAGGGGCGGCCACGCTGATGGGCAGCCACGGTGAGGGGCAGCCACGCTGATGGGCGGCTGCAGAGGGAGGTTCGGACGCTGGCTGAGTGCCTGAGTCACACGGAACAGTGCAACCAGATGAAAAGACAAGAAAGCCACTTGCCGGGACAGCTGACGTCTGATCACTGTGTGTCTGTGACTGGGCCTGTCTCTGCAGAGGGCTTACACAGCCTTCAATTTCTGAACAAAGCAAGAAAATGGGAGTTTCCTATTCTACCAAAACATGACCTTTTTACTATCTCACAATTACAGTCAATTCCTTGTTTGCTATGTGTAGGATCTACTTCCAAGAGCAAGAAACACAAAGCGGAAGAGTGGGCGCACAGCCTGACACACTCAACACACTAGTCGAAATGTCCGCACTCCCAGCTGGGCCCGGGGCCCGGCTCCCGGTCCACACTCCTGCGGAAGAGCCCCTTGGCAGGGGACAGAGGCTGGCACTTGCCTTGAACGCCCCGGGAACCCATACGGGCGCCGGTTCTGATCCCGGCAGCTCCACTTCCCATCCAGCTCCCTGCTTGTGGCCTGGGAAAGCAGTCGAGGACGGCCCAATGCTTTGGGACCCTGCACCCATGTGAGAGACCCGGAAGAAGTTCCTGGATCCTGGCTTCGGATCGGCATACATCGACCATTGCGCTCACTTGGGGAGTGAATCATCTGATGGAAGATCTTCCTCTCTGTCTCTCCTCCTCTCTGTATATCTGACTTTCTAATAAATAAATAAATCTTTAAAAAAAGAGACCCAGATGAGTCCCAGGGCCCTGGCTTCCAGGAATTGGAGAGTAAACCAGAGGATGGAAAATCCATTTCTCTACTTTTCACATACAATCAATATAAAAAACAAAAAGCAAAACTCAGAGCTTGTGAAATGACTTAGTCTGCAAATTTGGTTCTGAGGACTCGGCCCACTGTCTGCCACACCACCAGGGGGAGCCTGCTGCCCGCCACGCCACCAGGGGGAGCCTGCTATCTGCCACGCCACCAGGGGGAGCCTGCTGCCCGCCACACCACCAGGGGGAGCCTGCTATCTGCCACACCACCAGGGGGAGCCCACTGCCCACCACGCCACCAGGGGGAGCCTGCTGCCCACCACGCCACCAGGAGGAGCCTGCTGCCCGCCACACCACCAGGAGGAGCCCGCTGCCTGCCACGCCACCAGGGGGAGCCTGCTGCCCGCCACGCCACCAGGGGGAGCCAGCTCCACCCTGACCTCATAGCAGGGCACAGCTCACACCCCACCCCACTGTGCAGCAGGAGGCTTCCGCCATCTTCCCCACTGTGTCTGCCTCAACTGACATATGATCGGCACCAAGTTGAGGATTTCCCATGAGGCGTCAACAAACAGGCACAAGGTGAGTTCTTCATTTGCCATTACTCTTACCTTTTTCACCTGGCAACCCTGGAGTACCCACTGGTCCTGGCGAGCCTGGCTGCCCAGGCGTTCCCATGACGCCCATTTCTCCCTTAGGACCTGTGGCCAAAAGGAAGAACTGTGAGCACCCCCATGAGGACACAGCAGAGCCGGGAGCACCCACCATGAGGACACAGCAGCGCCGGGAGCACCCCCCATGAGGACACAGCAGAGCCTTGAGCACCCCCCCATGAGGACACAACAGAGCCGGGAGCACCCCCATGAGGAGACAGCAGAGCCGGGAGCACCCCCATGAGGACACAGCAGAGCCGGGAGCACCCCCATGTGGACACAGCAGAGCCACGAGCACCCCCATGAGGACACAGCAGAGCCACGAGCACCCCCATGAGGACACAGCAGAGCCACGAGCACCCCCATGCGGACACAGCAGAGCCGGGAGCACCCCCATGTGGACACAGCAGAGCCACAAGCACCCCCCCATGCAGACACAGCAGAGCCGGGAGCACCCCCCATGAGGACACAGCAGAGCCACGAGCACCCCCATGAGGACACAGCAGAGCCGGGAGCACCCCCATGCGGACACAGCAGAGCCACGAGCACCCACCATGAGGACACAGAAGAGCCACGAGTACCCCCATGAGGACACAGCAGAGCCGGGAGCACCCCCATGAGGACACAGCAGAGCCGGGAGCACCCCCCCATGAGGACACAGCAGAGCCACGAGCACCCCCATGAGGACACAGCAGAGCCGGGAGCACCCCCCCATGAGGACACAGCAGAGCCGGGAGCACCCCCATGAAGACACAGCAGAGCTGGGAGCACCCACCATGAGGACACAGCAGCGCCAGGAGCACCCCTCATGAGGACACAGCAGAGCCGGGAGCCCCCCCCATGAGGAGACAGCAGCGCCGGGAGCACCCCCATGAGGACACAGCAGAGCTGGGAGCACCCCCATGAGGACACAACAGAACCTTGAGCACCCCCCATGAGGACACAGCAGAGCCGGGAGCACCCCCATGAAGACACAGCAGAGCTGGGAGCACCCACCATGACGACACAGCAGCGCCAGGAGCACCCCCCATGAGGACACAGCAGAGCCGGGAGCCCCCCCCATGAGGACACAGCAGAGCCACGAGCACCCCCCATGAGGAGACAGCAGCGCCGGGAGCACCCCCATGAGGACACAGCAGAACCTTGAGCACCCCCCATGAGGACACAGCAGAGCCACGAGCACCCCCCACGTGGGTCACGATGACAGTGAGGCTCAGAGCCAAGATACAGGGTACCACAGCATCAGCACAGGTGGCAGGAAGCTAGGAAGTCACGTACCTGGGAAGCCGGGGATCCCAGGTGTCCCCTGCTGGCCCGGAAGGCCAGGCATCCCTGACTGTCCGGTTAGGCCGGGGAGTCCTTGGGCTCCTTTGTCTCCTTTCGGGCCGGGCATGTCCAGTCCAGGGAAGCCGGGGAAACCCTTCTCTCCTTTCACGCCAGGGGGACCTAAGGTTGGGGGACAGAGACAACTGTAGAACTTCCGGGGCACTCCACGGCGGACTCGGTGGGTCTAGCTTCTGCAGCAAGCAGGCCAGTGTCCTCGGAGAGGCCCCGGAGGACAGCTCACCAGACACTGCTGGGTGGGCCCCCATGACAATCAGGGTATTCACAATGCCCTGGGAAAGGGCTAGTGCCCTCTGCCACCCCAGCCACTGTCACTGAGTGCCCTGGCCGGTGTGGCCTTTGACCCTGTCCCCCACCACCATCTCATCATCTGCCTCTTCAGCGTAACTCTACACAGTCCAGGTAGTTCAGATGACCCGTAACTTACAACCCACTGATCAAAGAATACACTTTGGAATACAACTGGAAGAGTTACAGAAAATAAAAGGGTGTCTCTTCAGCCTCTCTTGGTGGGAAGGCAGAGCAAGCAAACAACAAACCTGCTCTCACAAAGCAGGACTTGGCTCTGCCCCTCGCACTGGCAGGACCCACCCTAAGGGGACAGCCACACCACGGCCCAACGCCCTGGGCGAGCGTGACAGGGACGGGGGCTATGCGTCACCTGCTGACCCCGGCGGTCCCTGCCCTCCAGGGGGGCCCATCGCTCCGGGGGGGCCTACTCCTGGAGCTCCCGGAGGGCCCACGGGGCCTTGCACGCCCGGAGGTCCTGGGTCACCTGCAGGGGAAAGGCAGTGAGTGAAGCGCACAGCGAGGACAGCCTCAGTGCATGGCAGAGCCCAGGCGCTCCCGCTCGAAGCAGTTACCTCGGATGCCCTGAAGCCCAGGGGGCCCGATGGCTCCGTGCTCTCCAGGGACGCCAGGACTTCCAATGCTCCCCTTCTCCCCAGGTGTGCCAGGAATGCCAGGAATCCCAGGAAGCCCCTTGAGTCCTGGCAGGCCGACTCCAGGCTCCCCCTACAAGCCCCAGAGCACAGAAGTCAACTGACCAAAGCCAGCAGCAACCAGGCTGCCAACACTTAGAAGGATTCCTCGTGTTCCGCCCTCGTCCACAGCCTGAGCAAGTGGCGGACAAAGTCCAGACCGGACTGGGGTGGTGGTGCAGTGTGTTAGACCAGCACCTGTTCCAGTTTGGATGCTGCACTTCCAGTCAAACTCCCTGACCTGGGAGGGCATGGGAGGTGGCCCAAGTGCTTGGGCCCTGCCACTCCTGTGGAAGACCCAGATGGAGTTCCAGCCTCCTAGCTTCAGCTTGGCCGGCCCTGGTCATGGTGGGCGTCTGGGGAGTGAACTCATGCATGGAACAGCTCTCTCTGACCCTCTCTCCCTCCCTCCCTGCCACTCTTCAGAGCAGTTAAACCCTTTGAAAAGAAAACAACACGTGTGGGTCCACTCCATGTGGTCAGGAGCCACTCCCCAGGGAGGGTGGAGACCCACCTTTTGTCCTGGCAAACCGGGGCTGCCAGGTAGGCCATTGAACCCTGGGCGGCCTGGGCTCCCAGGAAGTCCCCTGTCTCCAGGCTGGCCGTCCACACCTGTTGTGCAAAGTGAAGGTGGTCATGGAGTCCTGGTGCTATTCCACACCTCCTGAACATCTCTTGCCTACGCTACTCCATTCTAGTCTCGGGTCCCTCCACCTGCCCCTTCCCTCTCCACCTGCCCCCTTCCCTCTCCACCTGCCCCCCTTCCCTCTCCACCTGCCCCCTTCCCTCTCCACCTGCCCCCCTCTCCACCTGCCCCCCTCTCCACCTGCCCCTTCCCTCTCCATCTGCCCCCCTTCCCTCTCCACCTGCCCCTTCCCTCTCCACCTGCCCCTTCCCTCTCCACCTGCCCCCCTCTCCACCTGCCCCCTTCCCTCTCCACCTGCCCCCCTCTCCATCTGCCCCCCACTCCATCTGCCCCTTCCCTCTCCACCTGCCCCCCTCTCCATCTGCCCCCCACTCCATCTGCCCCCCTTCCCTCTCCACCTGCCCCTTCCCTCTCCACCTGTCCCCCTCTCCACCTGCCCCCTTCCCTCTCCACCTGCCCCCCTCTCCATCTGCCCCCTTCCCTCTCCACCTGCCCCTTCCCTCTCCACCTGCCCCCTTCCCTCTCCACCTGCCCCCCTCTCCACCTGTCCCCCTTCCCTCTCCACCTGTCCCCCTCTCCACCTGCCCCTTCCCTCTCCACCTGCCCCTTCCCTCTCCACCTGCCCCCCTCTCCATCTGCCCCTTCCCTCTCCACCTGCCCCCCTTCCCTCTCCACCTGTCCCCCTCTCCACCTGCCCCTTCCCTCTCCACCTGCCCCCCTTCCCTCTCCACCTGCCCCTTCCCTCTCCACCTGCCCCCCTTCCCTCTCCACCTGCCCCCCTTCCCTCTCCACCTGCCCCTTCCCTCTCCACCTGTCCCCCTCTCCACCTGCCCCCTTCCCTCTCCACCTGTCCCCCTCTCCACCTGCCCCCCTTCCCTCTCCACCTGCCCCCCTCTCCACCTGTCCCCCTCTCCACCTGTCCCCCTCTCCACCTGTCCCTTCCCTCTCCACCTGCCCCCCTTCCCTCTCCACCTGTCCCCCTCTCCACCTGCCCCCTTCCCTCTCAGATCTCCTGCAGCCACTCTGTATGGGATTGAATTGCTGACCCCCAAGCAGCTGACCCACCAGCTGGCCTGCTGGACTTAACCCTGGCCACTCTCTAAGAGAAGGGACAGTCTGCTGGCGTCACTGCTGGACTCCTGCAGGCCCAGGCCTGCCCGGTAGGCTTACCCTTGGGGCCGGGAGGCCCTGGAAATCCGATCCCAGGCTGGCCCATGGCACCCTTTTCTCCCGGAAGTCCTGGCCGTCCTGGGGCTCCAGGGAAGCCCCTGTCACCTGTGGCGAGGACAGCGGTTAGCCCAAGAAACACGAGGCAGCCCCACCGCGACCCGGGGCCCGGCCCCCTCAGCACCTTGGGGGCCTTGGAAGCCAGGGGAGCCTGGCAGGCCTTCTGTTCCCGGAGGGCCAGGCAGGGGGACGACCTGTCCTGCTTCACCCTTCGGACCTGAGAAGAAAACAGCAACATGCAACATGGACCACGTCGCCCGACACCATGAGCACCCAGAAACTAAAGTCATCTACCGTTCCCCAGCTCATCCCTCTACATTTCTAGAATCTTCCACGGAGAGCTGGTCTTCACACAAAATATACATCCAAAATAACCCAGAGGCTTGTTAGACTGAAGATGCCTCAAGAGCTCCGAGCAGAGTTAGGGGAAAGCGAGTGGCCAGGAAGGCAGCGTGAGCTGGGCTTGGGGCTCTCTTGGCCTGTGTCCAGGCAGCCAAGCATGGTCACCAGTGCCTAGCTTTCTCAAACAGATCCCGAGTGGCTTCAAGGCTGATGTCAATCACGGTCCCTAGGTGGCAGTAAGAAGGTGACCGGGACAAGCCCGGGCCCAGGGTGTCCATGCCCAAGCCAAGCTTCACCTGTTAGGAGAGGAACCCCTACGGGCTGTGTGTGTGGAGTTCTCACAGGACTTGGGGGCCCGCCAGACACGGCCACAGGGGCAGTGGGGACCGACAGGCTCACGCTCCCCTGCCGTCAGCTCCACCCCTGGGGCGCAGCCTTCACAGTCACCGGCACAGGCTGCTCGGGCAGACGGACGGCACGCCTCTGAGCTCGAAGCCGCTGGGTTTGACACCAACGAGTGCCACGGAATGTGGCCCGCAGACAACCACACAGCCACTGACCGTGCAGACAACCACACAGCCACTGACCACGCAGACAACCACACAGCCACTGACCGTGCAGACAACCACACAGCCACTGACCGTGCAGACAACCACACAGCCACTGACCGCGCAGACAACCACACGGCCACTGACCACGCAGTCAACCACACGGCCACTGACCACGCTTGGGGATTCTTTGCCCAGCCAGCCAGGACACACTTTACCCCATCTGCATCTTCTAACAGGAGTTGGCACTGAACAAGCTATTCTTGTCTAGCTCTGGACACGTGCCATGGCCTCTGGCACAAGGGCACTCGTGGACACATATGGAGGCAAGGCTGAAGTGATCTCAGCCCCTGTACTGGCTCTCGGGGGTCGCCTGGGTCAAGCCCACTCTCCCTGGCCCCCAGTCAGAAAGGGGATGGCTCTGGGATTCTAAACAACAGCCATCAAGGGATTCATACCTGGGTGCCGAGTGCCAACTACAACAGAACAGGGACCATTCTTGGGCATGAAACACACAGCAGCCTATGCCCACCATGAGGCAATCCTATGCCCACCATGAGGCAATGCTGGAGGGCTCTGCGTGCCACCCTCACCAGCAGACAGCAGTCCCCAGCGGAAAGGACAGGGCTGGGACTGGACACCCAGTTAAGAGACAGAATCAGCACATGTGTGAGCCACTCAGTGAGGCATCAGCAAACGCCCAAGCCAGCAGCAAGCCTGACATGGGGACAGAAGAGGAGCTGTGGAGAGGACGCCACCCGGGACGCCATCGTGGGCAGAAAGAGGGGAAAAAAATGGCCTTGTGCTGTCCTTATGTCTACACACGAGCTGGCCTTCCGCTGGCACCCGTGATACACCCGCCTTCTCACTCGCACTCAAGCTATCCAGCCCAGCTCACAAACAAGGAGGCAAGATGCTGAGAAGCTAAGAAGTCCAAGCCCCTGCCAGCCCCCACCTGCAGGAGCCCAGCTTCCCGCCTGCACCTGCAGGAGCCCAGCTCTCCGCCCCACACCTGCAGGAGCCCAGCTCTCCGCCCACACCTGCAGGAGCCCAGCTCTCCGCCCACACCTGCAGGAGCGCAGCTCCCCAACCACACCTGCAGGAGCCCAGCTCCCCGCCCACACCTGCAGGAGCCCAGCTCCCCGCCCGTGCCTGCAGGAGCCCAGCTCCCCAACCGCACCTGCAGGAGCCCACCTCCCCGCCCGCGCCTGCAGGAGCCCAGCTCCCCAACCGCACCTGCAGGAGCCCACCTCCCCGCCCGCGCCTGCAGGAGCCCAGCTCCCCAACCACACCTGCAGGAGCCCAGCTCCCCGCCCACACCTGCAGGAGCCCAGCTCTCCGCCCACACCTGCAGGAGCCCAGCTCCCTGCCCACACCTGCAGGAGCCCAGCTCCCCGCCCACACCTGCAGGAGCCCAGCTCTCCGCCCACACCTGCAGGAGCCCAGCTCCCCAACCGCACCTGCAGGAGCCCACCTCCCCGCCCGCGCCTGCAGGAGCCCAGCTCCCCAACCACACCTGCAGGAGCCCAGCTCCCCGCCCACACCTGCAGGAGCCCAGCTCTCCCACACCTGCAGGAGCCCAGCTCCCCGCCCACACCTGCAGGAGCCCAGCTCCCCGCCCACACCTGCAGGAGCGCAGCTCTCCGCCCACACCTGCAGGAGCCCAGCTCTCCCACACCTGCAGGAGCCCAGCTCCCCGCCCACGTCTACAGGAGCCCAGCTCCCCAACCACACCTGCAGGAGCCCAGCTCCCCGCCCACACCTGCAGGAGCCCAGCTCCCCAACCACACCTGCAGGAGCCCAGCTCCCCAACCACACCTGCAGGAGCCCAGCTCCCCGCCCACGTCTGCAGGAGCCCAGCTCTCCGCCCACGCCTGCAGGAGCCCAGCTCCCCGCCCGCGCCTGCAGGAGCCCAGCTCCCCGCCCGCGCCTGCAGGAGCCCACCTCCCCGCCCGCGCCTGCAGGAGCCCAGCTCCCCGCCCACGCCTGCAGGAGCCCACCTCCCCGCCCACACCTGCAGGAGCCCAGCTCCCCGCCCATGCCTGCAGGAGCCCAGCTCCCCGCCCACGCCTGCAGGAGCCCAGCTCCCCGCCCCGCGCCTGCAGGAGCGATGACCTCAGCATCCTCCGTGCTCCCTTCCAGAGTCTCAGACCTCACCTGGCAGGCCGGGGGACCCAGGGCTCCCAGGAAAGCCTGCTTGTCCTTTGTCACCGATGGGGCCGATCGGACCAAATCCCGGAGGCCCAGGGGGGCCAATGTCACCGCGACTTCCAGGGAATCCAACACCCCCAGGGGGGCCACGCTCTCCTTTCAATCCTACTGAGCCCTGGGAACCAGGATGAAAGGGGACACGCAGTCACCAGTGGGAAGAGCAGCACTCCCACCCCACACATCTCCCACAGCGTGTCGGGGCTGGAGAGCCCTGGCTTTCACTGTTCAGCGCACCCCCTCCCCCGAAGCCCTTGCCATGAGTCCCTTCTCTGAGCCCAGCACTGGCCTCCCCGTCCCCCACCCTCGTTAGGAGACACTCGGGGAACAAGCACATGGCCCTGGGCTCGCTCTGGTGCAGTGACACTGACACCAGATGTCAGACTTTGCAGGGTGAACAGGCAGCAAGACAGACCCATGTGCATACCCCAAGCCCATCAGAAGACCCTACTCCATCCCCAGGTGCGCACCAGCAGCACCCAGGCCTGTGGACCCCAGGGGACCCATGGGCCTGCAGAAGCACCACCCAGATGAAGACGCACTGCCCCGCCGTCTCTGAGATGCAGGTGTGAAGGCACAGCGAAACGTACCGGGGAGCCTTTGGGACCGGGCAGGCCGGGGAGGCCATCTCTCCCAGGGGACCCCGCTCTCCCTGGCATGCCAGGCTGTCCTGGGAAGCCGGGGTCTCCTTTGTCGCCCTTGAGTCGCGCATCAAAGTAGATCTCTCCAGGCTCGCCCTTGGCTCCAGGCTGCCCCATCAGCCCAGGGGCACCTTGCGGTCCCTGCAAGAACAATGGCTGTGAGACCACCACAGACCACGCGTGGCCCACCCCAGCGTGCCCAGGCTACAGACTGCATCCTGAAGCCACCTGCTTGAAGACAATCATGGGCTTACGGCTCATCTCGCTGTCAGACCCCACCCACATCAGTGCTCGCACAACTTCTGAAAATGTGCCTCTGCCAAGCGTCCCACAGGGCCCAGCACAGGCCAGGGGCAGCATGGCAGTGGGCGTGCAGCACTCCTGGCTGGGACACTGCCTCCCTGCCCCTTTCTCTGCTATCTGACGGTCAGGGCTGGGCGGGGGTAGCAGCATCTGGCGTGGTTTTCAGCCCGAGTCCAACAGGAAGAGCTCCAGGAGAGCCGGGCCGACAGAGGCAGTGGACAGAGGTCAGGGGCGTCCTTTTCCGCCGCCTTCAAAGGCTTCTGTCTTTGATCCCCACCACGGGGCTGGCTTCCCGGTTATTTGAACTTTTCCTTTACTTAGACACATCTTCAACAATCTCGACAGTGAGCACTTCGCTCCCTGCCCCACGCTCAGCCCTAGGAGCGCCCAGGGAGCAGAGGCTCAGACTGCAAGAGGAATACAGCCCCATCTCCACCTACTCGAGTACCTAGAAGCTTCCAGCAACATCTAAAACCCCCGAAAACCTTAAAGAGCTGCCTCGGAACAGCATGGTACTAAAGGGAATTGCAGACAGCGGGTGCAGTTTGGAGCGTTTACAGGAGCAAAGAGAATCCAGGAGGGGCCAGGCCACGAGGCTGGAGCTTTGTGAACGGGCCTGACTTCGGCAAGCAGCAGCTGAGGCTTCATGTCTGTGAACGGCTTCCTTCAGAATTTGCAATGCTTGGCAGCTGGTATTGTGTTTGATTGAAAAGCTTTGTGCCAAGGTGACCCAGATACTAAACTTTTCAGATCTGAAAACACTGCCGTACAACAGACGTGGGCAGCAGGAACATTCCGGAATGCCTGTCTGTCGGCAGAGGGGGGTGGAATGCCTCAGAACCCTGACGGCTGTGTAGGCATGGCTGGCGCGGAGCCCGTCCACAGACAATGCTGCAGCTGACAAGGGGGCCCTCATGCCCGAGGGGGACGCACAGAGGCCACGGCTCTCCCCGCACCATGGCAGCTTCCCAGGGAACCCTAGCGACCCTGCAGGAAGAACCAGACCTGACACAGGCAGCGGCGAGACTGGCTAAGTGCGAGGACAGGAACTGGCAACCTGGGTCCTGCAGGCCACGGTGGCACTCCGTCCCAGGCCGCATGGACATGAGTGACCAGGGCCACATGTGCAAACACAGACACACGGGCCTGACACTCACCCACACATGTGAACCCAGTGGCCTTACTCACCGGCAGTCCTCCAAGGCCATCCCTGCCGGGGAATCCACGGTCGCCCTTGGCTCCTGGCTGTCCCGGGAATCCTTGAAGAGAGAGAGAGAAGCAGCACAGAACTTATGAGGCACTTGTTCCAAACCCTCTGTCCCCACAAGACTGCAAAGAATAAAGTCCACACAGCAGCCTGAAAAAGAGGACCAAATCATGACCCCACATGCCCGCAAGTGACTTGTGAACAAAAGGGCTGCAAGTGCCCCAACCTTCACAGAGATAGTCCTAGGGACCACGTGAGGGAGGCTCTGCACATGTCATCTGAGTCAGTTAAGCCCGTGGGATGGGGTGAACGTGACACCATTGTCCTCTCACTAGGAAATCTCACTGATGCCCAACGGCAGGCTAGTTGCCAGAGAAGAGAAGAGCCCTGCCCTTCAGGCTGCACGCCCGCCTCACTGGTTCCAAGTCGGAGCACAGAGCATAACCCCTCGCAGAGGGAAGCGCTCTTGCCAGGAAGGTGTGTGGCCCAGGACCCACGCTGCCTGGGCCCTCCCACACCTCCCAGGTCCACCCACGCTGCCTGGGCCCTCCCACACCTCCCAGGTCCTCCCACGCTGCCTGGGCCCTCCCACGGCGCCCGGACCCTCCCGCACAGTGGGCTTACCGATCTCTCCAGGGGGCCCCTGTGGCCCTGGGGGGCCACGCAACCCTTCCGTGTCACAGACGAGGCAGCTGTCCCCCTTCTGACCTGAAAGAGGAAGCACAGGAGTGGCAGGTGCCGGGGCAAGCATCATCTCAGCCATGTGTGGAGGGGACACGAGACGCTGTGTTCACACCGAGTCCTCAGGGATCCCCAGCTTCCCCAGGGGCACCCGGCCGGGCAGCCCACTGCGGGGACCGGATAAGGCAGCCGGAGCCACAGAGGCCCACGCCCTGCAGCTGGGTGAGCAAGCTCATCCATCAGGGAGGAGCCCACAAATCCACACATGACCACTCTTGTTTTCTAACTTGCATTCTTACCTTTCTCTCCAACTTCGCCAGTCAATCCAGGCTGCCCTGGAACCCCGGGAGGGCCCTGGTCGCCCGGAGGCCCCGGCTGGCACTCCACGATGCCATCTGAAACGCACATCAAAGGCACAGGATCGCAGTTAGGCAGGCTCGCCCTCTGTTCCAACAACCACACCACCTGGGGTCGTGCAGCCTTGGGGGGCTGTCCCCACCCCTCACCCTGGCCCCCCCACTGCATCTTCATCTTGCAAAGCACCCCCGCCCCCGTAGGTTCACAGCTTCATGACCTGGGGCTCAGAAGGGCCCGCCAACCTGTGCCTGAACAACTCCCAGCCCTCCTTTCCCCAGCACAGCTCACTCCAGCGGGGCAGCATGGCTGCCAGTTCCAGCTAGGGAAGCACGGAGGCCGTGGGCGCTCTGGCTTTGTCTGCCTGTGCTTGTTGGTTTTTCGGAGAGCTGCTCCCAATGGCTGTGGCGGTGGGCTGGCCCTACATCTCCCTCCAGCCCTCTGACCTGAAGGCCAGGCAGTGGACTTGAACTTTACACCTCTGAGAGCCTGCCTGTGGCTCCCAGCCCAGCGAGGCTGACCGCTGCGAAGGCCCTGATTCCTGGAAAATGCTGGACACGCCCACTCCCACGAGCTGGAAATTACTTTTCTGGAACGGACTTCCTGCCACCTCAGCCTACCCACACTGCTCACATCCCTGGGAACAAGCAATGCCAGCCGCTCATCATCAGCCTCGAGTGGTCCCAGGAGACATCCCAGCAGCGTCCAGTTACAGCCCGCTCACTGACACCCCTGCTGAGGGGAGCACGGCCCGGGCCCTCAGGGGTCCCCACCTTCTCAGGGACACGGATGACAACGCCTTGCAATGGGCATGTCCAGCCCATTCAGATGCGCCCCTCCTTTCCCACACTTTACAACATCACGAGAAGGGGAGGGCGCTGCGTGGGCCACACGAAACCCACACATGTCCATGCTGACCGTGCCTGAGGGAGTAACCAGGCCGGCCAGACCTCACACAGCCTCTGGGTGACGGCTTCCTCCTTGGAGGTGCCCTGCCTGCTGGCCACCAGACCCACGGCCCTCCTTCCTCCCCTTGGCCGCATTCAGAGCATCTGTGTTTCAGGCACCCCTGCCCGCAACTCCCACCAGAGCCACGAGCTCGCGGCAAACACCCAGCTCTGACACGCGAGGAAGCTCCAGGGAGCACTTGGAATCTGAGGCCCGGCCGTGTGACCGTACATGCTGATGCATCTGTTCCCATGCCGTCCCCTCCCTGCCCGCAGTGTGCAAGTGTGGCGATGAGCAGCAGACAGCACATGGCACTCTCCATCAACACAGTGCCACTCACCTGCTGAACGCGTGACGGTTCCTGGAAGCTTTAACAACACCTTTCTCTGGCACTGCCACCTCTGTGCAGCCCCCAAGTGGAATGTGAATGACTGCCCGATCGGCGGGCGATCACTGGGCCCTGTGCTCAGCTCTGGCAGCTGTCCCAGCCCTGGGCAGCACTGCCCTCCCATGCCCACCCCTGGCTGGATACCACGGGAACTCACTGGTGTGGCCGGGTTGTCCCGGAGGTCCTGGGGGCCCGGGGGGACCCGGGGTTCCATCCCTTCCACTGGGTCCGGGCAGGGATGTGCCAGGAAAGCCTTGGTCGCCTTTTTCTCCTCTCTCGCCAGGGAAGCCAGGAGCACCAGCCTGGCCTGGCACAGCAAAGCCTGGAACCAACACAGGCAAATCAGCGACTCTGGGAGCAGGGCTCCAGCCAGGCCAGCAGGCACGGACTGCAACAGCGGGACACTGCCAGCCGGGCAGGGCTCCAGCCAGGGCCAGCAGGCACGGACTGCAACAGCGGGACACTGCCAGTCGGGCAGGGCTCCAGCCAGGGCCAGCAGGCATGGACTGCAACAGCGGGACACTGCCAGCTGGGCAGGGCTCCAGCCAGGGCCAGCAGGCACGGACTGCAACAGCGGGACACTGCCAGCTGGGCAGGGCTCCAGCCAGGGCCAGCAGGCACGGACTGTAACAGCGGGACACTGCCAGCCGGGCAGTGAGCTCAGAGGGAACAGTTTGTGTGGATGTGGAGCCCATGCACTTCTCTCGGCTCCAATGACCTTCCTGGCACAGGGATGGAGGGGCAGCAGCACAGAGCACGTGTGGGACCGAGGCAAAGGCTGGGCACTGGGGGTCTAGGGATGGGGCTGCCAAGCAGGAAGAATGGGAAAGCACAGCCAAGGGCACACCAGGAGGCACTGTGAGCAGGCTGCAGGCCACACAATGTCAAGGTCAGCATCCACAGGTCTGATGGTTTCTGTGGAAAACCCTGAAGAGAACAGCACCTGGGGGCAGCAGCAGGAGGCCTTACGGTGGGGACAGGGCGGCCTCAGGCAGACTCAGGCTGTCCGAGCAGGAAGGAGCAGGCAGGTCTGGGATCCCAGAACACGAGCCCAAGGGCAAGACAGCAGGAAGAAGTGAGGGTGACCCATTGGGGAGACACGGGATCGGGGAGCGACCCCCAAGCACCGGGCAGGACTGCAGGGGCCGCGCCTGAGTGAAGCTGGGCCCAGAGGAGGGTGGGATGCGACAGAGCCCACAGACACCTGCTCAGACAAGGACAGCAGACAGATGACACATCTCTCCCCTAACTGGAAGACAGCAGTGACACTGCTATTTCTCAGATACCTCACACACGATAAACACACGCAAAGCTAAGCACGGGAAGGGCGCAGGGCAGCGGCGGCATCTCACCTGGGGGGCCCGGTTGGCCTTGGATCCCTGGAAACCCTAAAGAGAGAGGGAGTGTGTCGGGCTGCCTGAGTTTCTCCACCCGACACCCCCCAACGCCCCACCAAGCTCCAGGGGAGCACAGACACAGGAAGCCACCCGTGGTCTGGAGCAGCGTCCTATAGCTGGGAGAGATGCTCCCGTGACAGGCACCCCAAAGTGTCACCACGTCACAGTGCCTGGGGGACGGAGCGGAGGCGTCTAGTCCAAAACCCAAGCACTTGTTTCATCCCAAGCATCTTCCACAAACTTGTTGAGGACACCCCCCTTGAAACTTGGAGGAGACCAGATCACGGGACAGCTCTGCAGGGCAGAAGGTGCCCTGGAAAAGGGGTACAGGAGGACAACCCTACCTTTAGGGCCTGGCTCTCCTCTGAGGCCCGGCGTTCCTGGGAAGCCTCGCTCTCCTTTCTCTCCTGAAGGTCCCGTGCCTATCACCTGGAGGACAAGGGCAAGATGGCCGCCTGGCGTCAGGGCGGCAGCTCCCGTACCCAGCATGCGGGAGCAGCGGTGGGGCGGCTGGGTGCGGGAGCCGTCGAGGGAGAGGGCACGGGCTTCTGAGTGGGTCCCGGGCTCCCCTCTATGCAGCTGCTGCCCCCACACCAAGGCAGGCACATGCACACCACACAGCAGACACTCCACAGCCCCGGGCTACAGGCTGGGCGCCCACCCATGGATTTTGCTGGAAAACTTTTCTTTTCATGTCCCACAGTGGATCTGCTTGTATTTTTTGAAATCACAGAGATCTAAAGCCCAGAAGGCCCTGCTGGCCACATCAGACACAGCGGCCCCTCCTGGCTCTGATCTACTGACATGCAAGCAAAACGGCCTTAAACACAACCCTAGGTACCAACTAAATTAGCAGTTATTATGCAGAGGAGTGTATTTTACATAACTCGATTTGACTACTCCACGATACACACGCAACCAGCCCACCGTCCCCATAAATGTAAACAATCCTTCCTTGAGAAAGAAAACAGGAACAAAGGGGCAAACATCCAACATCAACAAAAACTAACAAAAAGGTGTTGAAGTTCAGGCAAAAACAGAGTACTCCAACACTGCAAGCAGCCACAAGTAAGACATATGGAACGCAGGACAGTGTGCAGGCTGAACCACCTGCAACGAAGCCTCTCCCCGCTGTCCCACTTCTGATCCAGCTCCCTGCTAATACCACGGAAGGCAGCGGGGGACAGCCACGTCCTCGGGTCCCTGCACTCGTGTGGGAGACCAGGAAGCTCTGGCTGCGCTTTCGATCATTTGAACAGATCAGCAGATGAAGGCTGTGTGTGTGTGTGTGTGTGTGTGTGTGTAAAACTTTCAAATAAATACCAACAACAGAACTGCGAGTAGACACAAAGTAATAAGCACATGAATAAGATTCAGGCTTTGATCCAACAACCCCAGAAGTGTGGCTCCTGCTGTGCAGGAACAGCAAGCACAGCCACACTCAGCCGCCAGGGGACGCCCCGGCTGGGAAGAAGCCTGGGGCACAGGGCTCCGACAGGGCCCCACGGGAGGCACGGTGGAGGAAGAAGCTCAACTCAGAAAGCCCTGGTGACATGGTGACAGCACATGGACAAGCAGTGAAATGCTGTCTACAAAAACAAATGGTCTGCTCCGACCAATGATGGTGGCCCACTCTTCCGCCCTGCCCACTGCACAGGCTTCCCGGCGTGTGGCAGGCCCCGGAGCAATCCCGGCTTCTCAGCAGTCGGAGCAGAGGCAGGAAGGTCACGGCGTGGAAGAGGGGCGCGGGCGGCCTCACAGCACATGCCCTTGCATGTCCAGGGTTTCACGGGCACTGCCACAGGGCCTGTCCCCACCTGAGCAGACCCGACCCGCAGCCTCCCTCTGCCCACCCTGGAGGGCACCAGCCAGCGCCATACTCACGATGCCAGGCAGGCCTGGAGGTCCGGCTTCTCCCTTGTCTCCCTGCAAGAGAAGGAAACAGCTCCACTTCCTGTCCCCATGAGAGACATCCCTCAGAAGGCAGGGTGCTCCCCTGGCAAGCCACGGCCCGGCCGCCAAGGGCCAGGAGCACTGTGGTGGCACTAGGTGTCCCGTGAGAGGACATGGGAGTGCTCTCACACACGACAACTACGCTTACAGACTTGGAAATACTCCTTTCTCATACTGAACAAAAAAGTTGGATGGACTGCTCAACGTCATTTTTTCACAAATGCACGCAGCAGGGACATACGCATGGGCAGGTGACAAAGACGTGCGGGTTGAGGTTCAGTGCCTGGCTCTGGCCCCTGGGACGCAGGGGACAGCTCAAGGACAGCCACCCACATGAGAACCCAGGCCTGCGTTCCCAGCTGGCCGCAGCCCAGCCCTGTGCTGGAACCCATGCTAAGGGGCTGTTCACGCGTGTGAGTGGGAAATGGGAAGCCAAGCCCCTCGCCGCCAGCGCTCCTCTCTCCGGCTTCTGCTGCTTTACTGCCAGGAAGGAGTTAACACAGGCAAGAGACGCGTGCAAAACTTGAAGGGGTAGAGCAGTCCAAATCTTCTTTCTCTCCCATAGAAACTTCATGAACACCAAAAAAATCACTAGTAATGTGTTTCACTCACAGAACTTTTTTCTTTGAGCCTAAGATCCTTTATTCCAGTGACAGAGTAAGAAAAGATAGATAGATAATATAACAAAAGACCCCGCTCGGGGGTCAGGTCTCACCTGGGGGCCGACCCTGCCCGGGAGCCCTGGGTATCCTGAGTCTCCAGGGAAGCCCTACAGTGAGAGAGATGGAATGGCAGTGACCAGCAAATCCAGGCAGTGCCCGTACTCACACCGCAGCAGGGAGGCGGCCGTGGTGCCCAGCAAGGCCGGGCAGTGCCCAGCAAGGTCGGATGGTACCCGTGCTTGCACAGTGGCAGGGAGGCGGCCGCGGTGCCCAGCAAGGCCGGGCAGTGCCCAGCAAGGTCGGATGGCACCCATGCTTGCACAGTGGCAGGGAGGCGGCCACGGTGCCCAGCAAGCCCGGGCAGTGCCCAGCAAGCCCGGGCGGTGCCCGCACTCACACCGCGACAGGAAGGCCTGTGGAGGACTTACCAAACTCCCCTTTTCACCTTTCTCGCCATCTTTGCCAGGCTTCCCCTGCACAAGGAAGACAAACATTGTGAGTGCTTCCGTAGGGAGCCCAGGGCCGCGGTCTCTCTGAAGCCACACGCACCCCTGTGCTCCGGCTGCGGGTGCAGGAGCAGGACGGAGCCGGTGGCAGAGCAGTGTCCTGGGATGCAGGAGCTGCTGCAGGGCTGTGGCTTTGCTAAGACGTCTCTCCTGCCCTCCAGGGGTGTACTGCTCAGCCACAGCCTCAGCCTCCCACCCCATACCCGGCCCCTCCGCTGCTGCCAGGCTACCAGACTGCAGTGAGGCCCCCAGCCAACACGGGGGTCTCAGAGCTGCCCTCAGGGACAGCCGGCAAGTCCCCCCCCCCGCCCGTGTGTCTGCGCAGGGTTGCGTTTGGCAGGGAGGGAAGGGGAACAGGACAGACTGGGGAGGTGCTTACCCGAGGCCCTGGCTTGCCAGGTTCACCTTTCTCGCCCATCCCTGGCATTCCCTGGAGAGAAGCAAACAGCCCGAGTGAGATTCTCTAGTGCCTGCTGGCAAGCTAGCAAAGCGGGGCGGCACAGACCTGCCAGAAACCAGGGGCCACTACGTTCTCTCCCGTTAATGCAACGAGGATAGAAAGCCACCAGCTGCTTACCTGGAACCCAGGTTCGCCTTTCTGACCCTGGAAGGATGAGAGAAAGAGAGGTGAGCTGTGTCTCATGGTTAGGCCAGCTTCACTTGCTACAGGGAACATTCGATAAAGGGAACCGCTGGTCTGAAAGGCGAGAGTGAGCAGAGAGCCACCGGTGGCTGGCACCAGCTCCAACCAGCCAGGGCTGTGGGCATCAGAGGGCAGAGAGAACCGACCTGGTGATGCTCCCAGCTCCAAGCCCCCACAGAGCAGAGCAGGGGCAGTCTCAGACCGGTTGTGGGTCATTCAGGTCGCTGCCCCACTCTGAGAAGCGTTCATAGCGTATGCCCTGGGTGGAATGGAGCTCGTTTCCCAGCACAGGATGGGAAGCAGGTGCAGAACCTGGCTTTAGTTTGGTTTTTTCTTGGTCCCTTAGAATGTGTTCCAGAACACAGGCGGCAGTGGCCGCACCAGCCCAGAGTACCTTTTCTCCCTTGGTGGCAAAGTCCCCTTTCTCCTGCACTTGAGCGTGTCCTGGCATTCCTGGAGGGCCACTGACGCCTTGATCTCCCTGTGGACATGAAAACAGAGAACGAATCAGCCAAAACAAACCAAAGCACCCACGTACAAGAGGGGGAAAGTGCAGCCCCAAATAGAGCATCAATTTAAAACATGTAATGGCTGCCTGATTTTGCCCCTTGGCATAAACTTGAGTTTCACAGGAAGAAGGCACCGAAGGACCAGACAGCAGGAGCAGCTTTGCTGCCCGACGCCAAAGGGGCTGCCCCTCCAGGGGTGTGCGTGTTCTGCATCTGTACGTCTAACGAAGGCAGTCCTGCCCAGTGACAGCACGGGCAGGCACACAGGCTGAGGAGGGAGCAGCAGCTTGCAGGCCACAAGAAGCAAGAGGACCACCAGCAGCATCAAATCCCAGCACCCCGACTGTTGTAACGGCACATGGAAAGAGAAAGCTGGCAGAGGCACAGATGACACCCCAATATCAACCGCCTAAGCACCAAGACCACTTCACTGTAAGGCTGATTACAAACATGGGGCAGATACTAGGGTGAGGCCTGCTGCCCAGCCCAGCCCTGTCCAGGCCCCTGGTGGCAATCACAGCCCAGCCTGCACACTGGTACCCAGGCAGAAGCAGCAGCTACAGGGATGCCCCCATCTGCCCTGTCATTTATATGAACCTGGGAAGCCATTAGAATGACGCAGGGATCAGGGACGCACAGTCTGCCTCCTTCCCTGCTCCAGCCTGTGCCTTTCTTCACCTGCATGGCCCTCGGAAAGGTCCACCAACTGTCGAATGTCACCTCAGCAGTCCGACGGGCTGCTGCAGCTGGCTGTCAGCCATTCTGGGCCTGGCTTGCTCTCCAGGGCAGAGCATGCCGACTCACTTTGTAGGCCCCCGTGTGCCAGAGTCAATGTCCTCACTGCACTCTGCCTGTCGGATCACGCCAGGAGCATGACAGTGCATCCCAGCTCCTCAGAAAGCTACTCTCAATCAGCAAGCCCACAGCTCTAAGAGACACACAGACTCAAGGACATCCAGGGAAGAGCGTGACAGCACAGCAAGACAAGAGGAGGCGACCTCAGCTGTGATGCTACACACGGAAACACACAGGAAATGTACTTACCTTGTCGCCTTTTGGTCCTTGGAAACTTAGGCCCATTTGCCCCTGTGGGTAAAAAAGGTGGCTTTCATGAGTGGAGCCATCAAGTCGGCCCAAACCATCCCACCAACATCACGCACTCCACGCAGTGACCGAGGACAGAGAGGCAGAGGACCGTGGGGAGGAGACCCCGAGGGACTACATAGAGACAGAGAGATGCTCCCGCAAAGACGCTTCTTTCAAATCTTGTCATGAAACTCAGAACACCAAAGAACTCACCTTTTCACCTGGAGGGCCAGGAGGGCCTGGGGGACCCTGTGGGAGAAGACGTGGAGTTAAACACTGCTCACAGACACAGGGACCTGTAATCCCTGCCTCGTGCAAAGATTCTTAAAGCTGAACGGGTAATGTGATCCTGCAGGTGTCAAACTTCCTGTCTGGGCTGCGAAACTTGCCAGGGGGGAAAAACTGAAGCAAAGCAAGGAAGGAGGGAAGGAAGGGAGGGAGGCAGGGAGAGAGAGAGACAGAGAGAGACAGAGAGAGAGACAGACAGAGAGAGAGAGACAGAGACAGAGAGAGAAAGAAAGAAAGAAAGAAAGAAAGAAAGAAAGAAAGAAAGAAAGAAAGAAAGAAAGAAAGGAAGAAAGAAAGAGGGAGAGAGGGAGGGAGGGAGGGAGAGAGAGAAAAAGAAAGGAAGGAAGGAAGGAAGGAAGGAAGGAAGGAAGAAAGAAAGAAAGAAAGAAAGAAAGAAAGAAAGAAAGAAAGAAAGAAAGAAAGAAAGAAAGAAAGAAAGAAAGAAAGAAAAAGAAAGAAGGAAGGAAGAAAGAAAGAAAAAAAGAAAGGGAGGAAGGAAGGAAGAAGAAACTGGTCCTGAACAATCGTTGATACAACACAAAAGCTTGGCAGCACCGAAGCCTGCCAGCTGCTCACCAGGAGCCCGGGGCTGTGGGCTGGCATTAAACATTTGTCTTGGGTATCATCCTCAAAACCCAACGGGATAAGCACTATGGCACAGCTCTGGGGCGGCACCATCTGTGTGGGCACTGATTCCTGCCCCTGCTGCTCCACTTCCAATCCAGCTTCCTACTAATGGGACTGGGAACAGTGCAAGAAGGACCAAGCCTTGGGCCCCTGCATCAACGTGGGAGACCCTGACGGAGCTCCTGGCTTTGACCTGGCTCAGCCCTGGCTGTCACAGCCCTCAAGGGAGTGAACCAGCAGATGCAAGGTCAAGTTCTCTCCATATTTCTGACTTTCAAATAAATGAATCTTCAAAACCAAACAGATCACGAGGCTCCCTGAGTACATGGCAGCAAATCCAAAACAATGTCGAGTGTTCCCAACGGCCTCAGGCTCTTTTCCATCATGGTAGGTGGGAAAAACAAGATCTCCTTTCCACATCTATTCACAAGAACAGAGAAGAGGCTACACTTCAACAAGTGACTAGCCTGGGAGTGGGCATCTGGTCTCATCTGGTGCCCACAGGGCACAGCCCACCTGCCATTGTTTTCCATCTCCAGCTCCCTGCACATACAACCCCGGGAGGCAGCAGGAGACGGCACAAGTGCCTGGGTCCCCAGCGCACACGTGGGAGACACACAGGACGAGTCCCGAGCTTTCACAGGTGCTTGGGGAGTGAACCAGTGGACGGGAGATCTCTGTGCAGCTGTGTCCCCCATTTTGCAAACATTTATGTATAATGTACAGCTTGTCTACGTGTAAGTGGCTGTGCGCACGTGTGTGTCACCCTCAGGCAGGCGTGTGAGATAAATGCAAGGTGCTTCTGCTCAGAGCACTGGCAGGCTGCAGGGCAAGATCTTCAAGCCCTCCACGGACCAGCCCATGCTGCGACGGTGAAGCTCGGGGGTCCACGCCATGCTGCGATGGTGAAGCTCGGGGGTCCACGCCATGCTGCCACGGTGAAGCTCCCGGGGCCCAGCCTGCCTGGCCTGTCTTTGCATTCCACTCACTCACTGACAATGGTGGCATCTGTTTAGGGGCAACTAGCTACACTGAACTATCACTGCCCCTCCCCCCACCCTGGGACAAAGAGGCCACATGTTTCCTTAAGAGGGTGACTGTGATGTTCCCAAATCAGGAGGTGCAGCCTCAAGTTCGTCTTCCTCATGTCCACCCCTTTCTTTCGCACAGCTGTTCTCCGAGGGGCTGTTTCGGCAGATACCCTCAGACACTTACGGGGGGTCCAGTAAACCCGGGCGGGCCCACGGGTCCTTGCAGCCCAGGCAATCCTGGCGGGCCCTGCAACGGATTAAGAGGGAAAACAATTAAAACTCCAATGGGAAACGCTTGGCTTGCAGCTGGGGATTGCTCAGGGAGTGCTCACCGGCAGCCCCGGGACTCCAGGAAACCCTCTTTCGCCTTTAAGCAGCATCCCAGGCACGTGGCCAAGGATTTCTCCGGGATCCCCCTGGAGGGTGGAGAAAAAGACAAAGTTGCAAATCCCACTCAAAAGTACAGATGATCTCAAAAACCACACTTAGCAAGACGGGAGACAGGTGGGGACAGCCCGGATCACTGCAGCTGCTGCACAGTCCCCAAGGACGCGGACAGCTGAGGGCCTCAGATGTGGCGCCCCTGGCTGTCCACCCTGCAGACAGGACACCAGGCTCTGGTGGGCAGGCTACATGGGCAGGCTGCTCTCACGGACACAACCCGAGGAAAGCCAGGAGCGACAGCCGAGCCCTGGGACAGAGGAAGTCCTTCGCCCGCAGACCCGCCCGTGTTCCCCGCAAGCTCAGACCTCCCCTGCCATGACAGAGCCGGGGAGCACGTTAACAGGCGAGAGCTCAGCCACACCGACACAAAATCAGTCTCTCTGTAAAAGGAAACTGTTTCCAGCAGCAGAATTCCTTTAATAAAGTTGAGAAGACAAAAACAAGATTACCTTCATGCCTGGCAGCCCGGGAGGGCCCTGCAAAAGAAAGTGTGAGTATTAGGTTATCTTTTTTACTCAAAATCTCATTAGCATCAAGATGTGTGTGCAAGAAGCAAAGGACACAGGAGGAGAGGGACCACCCGAGGGAAAGAGCCGCTACTCACAGGGTTCCCCATGAATCCAGGCAAGCCAGGCGGGCCCAGCGGGCCTCTCTCTCCCTGAAGGAAACAGTGGGGTCAGTGGCCAGTGCCCCAGACACCAGCGGTGGCTCCGTCCCACCCTCCAGGAACTGTCCCCTGCTCGTCAGAAATGGTGCCCGACAGTGGCTGTCGCTGGCTGTCCCTCTGCGTGCTCGCACGGTTAACAGAGACAAGTCCGAAGGGAATTTCTCTGTCTGACTTAGCCACTGACCAAAGCAATTTTATAAGTCTCTGGAAACACACAATTTCATCTCCCCTGTACACCTCACCAAAGAAGGACAGCTTTAAAACAAGTGACTTTCTGAGTCAGGTTAATACAGCAGCCCACAGGTGCACAAACGTGGCCCCCAGGGGCGTGGGCCCGGCTGGCAATTCACCTTTGTACCGTTGCATCCTGGGATACCTGGAGGGCCGGGGGGACCATCTTGGCCAGGGATGCCCTGTAATTGATCAAGCAAAGAGGTGACCAAAACAGAAACCCCTCTGGTGGTGGAATGGCTCATAAATGAAGCACTTTATGTACATACAGGAAGTCCTGGGTTCCCGGGGTAGCCGGCCGCCCCTGGCGGTCCCTGAAAGAACAGAAACAAATGCTTTTGATGTCGAGCAAGGGGGCCCCTCACACCCTCTCACCGCACCCACCCGGTGAGTGGGGTGTGAGGGACACGAGTACCTAGCACTTGGAGGCACCAGGCAGCCTCCCCAGGACAGGGATTGTCCAGGCTGACCACAGCAGTCCGACATCAGAAGCCAACTGCTGGTCACCCCAAACCAAGGCCGCACACTCCACTTTGCACTCAGCCGTGTGGACACTGGGGCATTGCAATGTCAGCCCTCTGGGAAGCAGCAGCCACCGTCCGGGACCGCAGCTCACCATCTGGAGCAGGCACAATGCCCCCCACCCGAGGGTTACGAGCAGTGCCCTATTGTCTCCTGCTCAGGGGCCGTAAAAGTGTCAGCAGAGCGCGCACTTCCTTCTCACCATGCGACATGATGTCAGCGCTTACGGTTGTAAGCTCTTGTTAATTTCTTACAAAGAGCATCCGTTATTTTATTGTATTTAATGTTTTTGTATTTTCCAGGAATGGGAACATCAGGAAAAGTGGACAATGTAAAGAAGGAAGAGGCAGCGGGCCAGGGTCAAGGGCACGGCCTTTCCTGCCCAGGGAAGCCACCTCTCCATCATGGCTGCCCTCCCTCTCCGTATCCCAGGCGCCAGTCGCAGCCTGTGCCCGGCAGACACGTGCATAAGAGAGAACCTGAGCGTGGCACAGCCAAGTGCTTGGAAGCACGGTGTGCACACAGCACGGTCACGGGGAACAGGACAGGACCAGGGGGACCCCCCAGCTCACATCCCGCCCCCACACCAGCCTCCCCCCAGCTCGTGCCCTGCCCCAACACCAGCCTCCCCCCAGCTCGTGCCCTGCCCCCACACCAGCCTCCCCCCAGCTCACATCCCGCCCTCACACCAGCCTCCCCCCAGCTCACATCCCGCCCCCACACCGGCCTCCCCCCAGCTCGTGCCCCGCACCAACACCGGCCTCCCCCCAGCTCACATCCCGCCCCCACACCAACCTCCCCCCAGCTCGTGCCCCGCACCAACACCGGCCTCCCCCCAGCTCACATCCCGCCCCCACACCAGCCTCCCCCCAGCTCGTGCCCCGCACCAACACCAGCCTCCCCTCAGCTCGTGCCCTGCCCCAACACCAGCCTCCCCTCAGCTCGTGCCCTGCACCAACACCGGCCTCCCCCCAGCTCACATCCCGCCCTCACACCAGCCTCCCCTCAGCTCATGCCCTGCACCAACACCAGCCTCCCCCCAGCTCATGCCCCGGCCCAACACCAGCTGCACTCACCCTTGTCCCCTTCGTGCCGGGCAGTCCTGGCTCTCCAGTATCACCCTAGAAGAGAAGAGAGGGTAACTTGCTGCCACGAGCATTGGGGCAATCCCAGCCATGCCAACCCTGCAGGGGTCTCCTCACCTTCTGTCCCGGTGGTCCCTGTGGCCCCTCGGGTCCTTGCATTCCGGGGAAGCCGATGACTCCTTGTAACCCTGGGAGGCCTCTTTCCCCCTGCAGCAAAAGGACATGGTCAGGCAACCGGCCACACCTGGGACCCAGCGGTGCCCATGCAGCAGGGCCAGGGGGCACACTGGCAGCAGGTGCCCCATCATTTCTGGGAGCATATAAGCAGCATTTGGGGGAGACTGTCATGGGACCCAGCAGGGGCAGCATCGCCCCGTCCACTGCGGGCCCAGACAGCAAAGAGGCCAGTCCACGGGTATCAGAACAGCAGATCCTCAGATAACCATCCTGGGTGCAGGTGCACGGCCGGGCTTCATTAGTGCAGCTCCTCCGACAGCCCCTCTCCCGTCTGCCTGCGGCCCTGCCTCATCATTCTGCTTCCCTGAGGATCCCAGGGTCTCATGACCCACTTCCCAGGGCTCACCAGCAAACAGGACACGCATCTCTAGCAGGTATCTGAAAGTGAAGCCCACTCGTGCTGTGCGGAACTGTGCCCTGCTCAAACTTCCGGACAGCAGGAACCAGTGCGATGTGACACCCAGCACCAGGTTTTCCAAGAGGGCTCCCCTGTTTTCACATTTAAAAAGGCAGAAGAAGTGAGAGAGAGAGCTTCCAGCCACAGGGCCACTCCACCAAACACCTTCCCCAGACAGGGCTGGGCCAGGCGGAAGCCACGAGTTCAGAACCGCACCAGGTCTCCCAGGAGGTTGCAGGGTCCCAAGCACTCAACCGACACAACGCTTTGCATACACTGACGGCTAAATGATGTGCTGAGTAAATGAGACCCTGCTGAGTGGCTGGATGGCACCCTCTCTCGTTTGGGGCACAGGGCACCGAGGTGTGTGAGGCGTGCAGCCATGAGCCCTTCTCTGTGGGACCCTGGGCGGTGCAAGTGACGTGCACAGCACGCCTTGGGCCCCCCGTCGTCCCAACACGCCATGGATCAGACAGAACTGTTTGTTCCAGATCATGACGGCTACCCAGGGGACACACACACACTCCAAACAGAACCGGTGCTCGGCTGGGCCAGGAGGAAGCTGGAACCTCATGCCAGTCCTGCAGTGGACATTGATAACTGAACCCAGGAAGGGAGCAGGGGAGGCAGGAACACAGAAACACAGGCTGGTGGCAGCAGAGGCAGGCCACACAAGGGGCACAGCCAGCCAGCAACAGGAACCAGGCAGGATATATGCAGGACATACACCATGCTGACCCGCCAGGACAAGGCAGCCAGAGCCCAGTGTAGGCACGTCCTGGGAAGCCTGCTGTATTCAGCTTGCCAACATGTTAGAAAAAAAAAAAACACAATTCTAGCAAGAAAGCCAGAAAACCCATTTCTCAACAGTGTGTGGGCTCCCGTGCAGTCCTACGTCAGGGATTGGGAGCACTCAGTGAGCACCATCAGCTGATAGAAAAACACAAGACCCTGTGGGGACGGCAGGCGGGGCTCCCCATGGCAGTGCTTCCTACGGCAGGCGGGGCTCCCCAGGTTAGGGATCCCCCATGGCAGGGATGCCCCCCAGCAGATGGGGCTCCCCCGAGGCAGGCGGGGCTCCCCATGGCAGTGCTCCCTAGGGCCGGCGGGGCTCCCCAGGGCAGGGCTCCCCCACAGCAGGTGGGGCTCCCTGGCCCTGGCTTTGTCACCAAGCCCTCCTAGGCAGAGGGAAGATGAGCCCACTAGTTCATGTTCTGCAACACCAACCGTCACTCCCAAGCAACACACTCCTGGGGCATCACACCCCAGCCGCACAACACTCCAACTCACTCTTCTCCCCAGCCTGCTCGCCTGGCCGCCCCGCCCATGCACTGTCACCTAAGAAGCGAGAGGCCCAGCAGTCAGGCCTCCCTGGTCCTGCTGGTCGTGCCTGTCAGCCATCTAGATCAGAGCAGAGAGGAGGAAGGACAGAACAAAGGCAGCCACCACACCGTGCGGCTCAGCGCGGCAGCCGGGGCCTCCAGGGGCCTCCACCTGGAGGAACAGCACAGGTGCCGATGCCTGCAGCCCACAGCACCTAAGGGTTCAGGGAATGCTGGCTCTGGCCCCCTGAGGCCTTGAGCCAGACACCTGCTTGGGGGAAGAGAGCCATGTGGGGCACTGTCACCAGGCAGGGACAGTCATGGAGCAAAATACCCTGGGCATAACACGAGCCTGCCAGGAGCTGGCATGAAATTAAAGAAAGCAAACTTGCATTGTGCACCCCCAGTCGCCAACAGCAGGCCGGAAGGAAATGCCATAAGCGACCTGTGCCATGCCCGAGCTTCCTGCTAACGCAGGGCCAGTATTTTTAGAACAGCTTGTTACCAGCCGCATCTGTCGGCGAGCGGGCAGGCGCCGGGGAGCAGAGCCAGAGGGCCTGCATTCTCCCAGGTCCTTCCTGAGCAGCACAGAGCCAGAAATAGCAGTGAGGTCACCCAGGCCCGGGTGTTTGTGGGTCACCAGAGCACGCAGGTTCCCAGCAGTATTGGCCAGCGGTTCCCCGATGTGAGCTCAGGCCACCCTTTTAAATCCATTTCACAGATGGGAAAATGAAGCCACCACGATTACCGACACATCACACGCCACCAGGCGACCTCTGGGGCTCACGGGAATGGAGGTCAGGCATCTGGAATCCCAATGCTTGTTCCTCTGGCAAACCCACATTCCTCCCCAACTGTCCCCAGGGCACTGACGCAAGCGCAGGATCCCAGCAGCTCGGGCCAGGGGGGCTGAGAAGGAAGCGACCCCTTCATTGACCCAACCCTTGCCATTCCTCCGCCAAGCTGTCTGGACAAAAGTGCTGACGAGGAATCCAGCAGCCCACGCCCCGTCCAGGGCTGCTGTGGGAACCGAAGCGCAGCACAGATGGGGCTGGGCTACGGGGACACTCAAGGAGCCACGCAGCAAGCGTCACATGAGGCCAAACGTGTCCTTGGAGCTTTCAGCAAACTTCCACAGGGACCACAGGAAATGCTGAGAGCTGGCTGGGCCGTGTGGGAGGTTGGGGAGGCCAGCCGTTTGCAGGTCACGGCCCCTCCACCCCTGCCCTCTGGGGGAGCTCCCAGGAGGTATCGACGACAGGTCCAGGAGGACACGGTGGCCTCGCAGGTCAGGCCAGGCCAGGAGGCACAGTCAGAACACAGCAGGCAATGCAAACCATCTCATTGTGAAGTCTGTGCAGCACTAGGGCCACACTGTGCTAACAGAGGAGTCCATGGACCAACAGGAGAAGTGACCGCTGCTGCAGCCTCCCCTGGTGCAGCTCAGACCCGACGGGAAAGGACCAGATGCTGAGGCTAACGGGGATGCAGGCCAGCAGCACGCAGCATGATGGCAGCACGGTCAGCCAGTGCCCACGGGCAAGGAGCAGGACTTCCCGCTGGCAGCAACAGAACATGTTGGCTTATCCAAATCCAGCTTCTCCCCCATCCAACAGGGGAAGAATGTGTTCTTTCATCTTACCAATCTTCCCTTCCTCCTTACATCTGCATGTGCAAATAAGCTCAGGACTCAGAAAGTCAAGGGTTAGGATGGGTAACCTGACTAAGTCAGAACTCCAAATCAGGGGGCTGCCGCAGGCCTGCACAAGGTCTCTAACCTGGGTGGGAAGCATGAGGTCTCTAACCTGGGGCGTGGGGGTCTCTAACCTGGGGAGGGTGCATGGGGTCTCTAACGGGAGGGGACACGTGAGGTCTCTAACCTGGGGCGTGGGGTCTCTAACCTGGGGTATGGGGTCTCTAACGGGAGGGGACACGTGGGGTCTCTAACCTGGGGAGGGTGCATGGGGTCTCTAACGGGAGAGGACACGTGAGGTCTCTAACCTGGGGTGTAAAGCCGCATGGGGTCTCTAACCTGGGGCGTGGGGTCTCTAACGGGAGGGGACACGTGGGGTCTCTAACCTGGGGCGTGGGGTCTCTAACGGGAGGGGACACGTGAGGTCTCTAACCTGGGGTGTAAAGTCGCATGGGGTCTGTAACCCTGGGAGACCACAGGATGGCCACCAGCCTAAACAGAGCTGAACCCAAGGACTCGCAGACTGCCCCTCCCATCCAGTCAAAGAACCGGACACAAACCTCAGCCTCCAAACAGGTCAGCAGCCCGGCCTGGCACGGGGCACGAGGCAGCACACCACAGACAGCCTATGAGCACAGGGAGCCGCTCAGGTGGATCCCAGAGCCCTGTCCAGTGCCAGGCTCAGTCCTGGGGCCACCTGGAGCCTGCTAAGCCTGAGCTTCAGGCCTCCAGGTAAGGGCTCAGAGAAGTGAGGGGTGTGGAATGCCAAGGCCTGGAGCCGGGCATGAGCAGACAGCTGCAGGGCAGCACCTGCAGCCAGAGCTGCTGGGAAAGGGGTGGGCAGCTGCACGGGGTCGGGAGCACCCAGCCCTGAGAGGGCGGACAGGCAGGACACAGCCACGTGAACGCAGCACCCTGTGGGCAAGCAGGCTAGCTCGGGGGCGGGGCGGACGCACCCCGTGCACCCTGCTTTCTCACCCGGAAACATTTCCTAGGAAGGCAAGAAGGAGGCTGGCTGGGTGCACACAGCCCAGCAGCAGCCGGTCACTCTCCCACGCCCCTGAGGTGGGGCTGCCAGTGACCGGGGCAGGAGCCCTCCCCCTCCCTCCCTGCACGGTGCTGGCCAGAAAGGCCTGAGCTCACAGCAGGGGAGGGGTACAGCAAGGAGAGCCCCCCTCCAAAGGGGACATTCCCAAGGACTGGGAAGAATGCAGACATTAAAAGTCAAATAACATTGGGCCCGGCGCGGTGGCGCAAGCGGTTAAGGTCCTCGCCTTGCACGCCCAGGATCCTATATGGGCGCCGGTTCTATCCCGGCAGCCCCACTTCCCTTCCAGCTCCCTGCCTGTGGTCCGGGAAAGCAGTCAAGGACAGCCCAAAGCTTTGGGACCTTGCACCCGCGTGGGAGACCCGGAAGAGGCTCCTGGCATCGGCCGTTGTGCTCACTTGGGGAGTGAGTCATCGGACGGAAGATCTTCCTCTCTGTCTCTCCTCTCTGTATATCCGCCTTTCCAATAAAAATAAAATAATAAAAATAAATATTTAAAAAAAGTCAAAT